AAGTAAAATAAACTTTTATATTTTTAAAAACTTATATACAATATAACGGTGTTTTAACAAACCCATTTATCGTTGAAATTAAGAGTTGAAGTTAGGAAAAGAGGCGGTTTCTAGAAAAGGAAACAAGCGAAGTTTGCCGAGACCCTGAGGCGTGCGGTCTCCGTTTAACAGATGTTGTTATTTCATCATTATTACTCCACCGTTTACTCCAACAGTTAAGGAACTCGTTAAAAACTGTCATAGCATAACAGAACGGCCCCTCCTGGGCACCCTTGAGGCAATTAAGATCCACCCGGGGTGTTACGACGCCTCTCTCCGAATGGCCTTCCCTCTTTCCGACGATTTTACAGAATCCGCCCTTGAATATTACTTTCACCGCTTAACTTCTGAATCTAGGAGGGATCGTTTAATTTAATTGAAAGCCGTTATTCCGAATGCGATTCATTAAAGTCTGTGCCAGGAAATTGCACGCCGATAGGTCCCGAGTTTTAATCCTGATCGTCGACTCATCCACTACTTATAAACAGCTGATCCGTCAGTGCTGATAGACTTTATAAAAAGCTTGCTTGTCCACGTTTTTAAAACTTTTCTTACCCTACTCATTACAGTGAATGTACAGTTGCTCTCTAGAATACAAATCATATAGCAATGGGTTGATCTGTTATTAATAAACAGTAATACACAAAATAGCAACGTTTATTGGTATTGACACGGCGCTCATCACTGTAAGGTAAAGGTCCCGGGTTCGAATCCAGCGGCACTGCATACAAATGGGCTTTTTTTCAGTAACACCGGCACCCTGAGGGTTGATATGACCTCTGCTTTTGCAAATCCTCGTAAAAAAAGTTTATTAATGATTCGACTGAAGAAAAAATACAGTACTAGTTACTTAAAATTAACTCAAATCATTTAAAATCCAGTTAAAGTTTTGAGTAAGTAATAGGTAAACAAACCAAGCAAAAATGTCATGTGGCACAGACAAGAAATTTAACTTTATCGCTTTAATAATTACCTAAGATGTAAACTTTCCGTAATAAGGTTGTAGATATAAGATGTAAATGTAATAATCGGGGTAATGTACCGCACCATATCACGGAATGATAAATTTAATCTCAAGTGGGCAGGAACGACAGATCGGTTATGCTGGTTTGCATATAAACAACGCCGTTTTTTCACATTTTTACAAATTTTTAACTTCAATCAAGTGAAGCATAAAGTTTAACTTTAGTTCCACTTTAACTGTTTTTTTCATCGTCCTTGATTCAGGTCCGCATGTTCTCGCTGCTAATTTTGATCAGAGTAATTAGTAATTAATTTTATAACGATTATTGTATTAACTGCATTGAAAAATTAGTATGAGGATATATAAAAGTCGCAAACAACATATTTCGTGTCTTCTTTGAACGCTTGATACTCCTCTCCAAAGGAAAGCTCAAGTAATGCAAAATGGGGAAGACATAGGGTAGTAGTTCTAAGGAGAAAAGCATTCCTGGGGAGTTGTGGACAAAGTCGGTGCTACCAAAAGTCTAGCGATAGTTAGTTGATAGTTGAGTAGTGAATTAGTAAGTCAGCAGTTGAGAGAGCCACTTGGTCACGAATAAGTTATAGTTGCAGTTTAAAATTTAGTCACTAGCTAGTCCCTTTGTTAGATTTTTATGAAGTGAACAAGCTTTGGAGGGAGAGCGTCTGGCATCGGCTTAGATAAATCCTTATGGATTTTAAACAGTTAATAAAGGTTTTTTGAAATGTAAAGACCTGGATTACTTTTTTTATCGCTCCAATGACGAATTCGGAATAAAGGCAAATCCTGACGACTGATCGACTTCCCGTTTTTCTCTCCGAGATATCCGTCTCTCTGCCTTTTAATCTACGACATATTGCCAATAAATAAGAGGCATAAGTTGAAAAAGGAGGAAAAGGTAAGGAGGTTATTGTGAAAGAACATGGGACTCCCCCAACACACTTTCCCATCGTTTGTGATCATCGGTTTCTTTTTAACTATTGAGGTATACATATTAAAACAATTGTTATATCAGAATTATTATTTGGTTGTACGATCATACCCCAAGGAGAGAATTTTCGCAGTAAAACAGGGATCAGAGTCTTCTGATATAAAGTTTTTGCAGGTGTGCCACAAGGGTCAATACTAGCTCAGCTGTTGTACACAATTTTTACTCCTGAAATGAGAAAGCACTTACCGCCGTATTTACAACCGCTCTCAAGCTACAAGCTTTTTTTATGTTACAAACCACAATCGACAGTTGAAAAATAGAGCAAACTTTGAAAATTAATTGTTTCAATTAATTAATCTTTTTATGTAAGGTGTTGGTTGGAATTAAAACGCTAGTGTCACGAGCGGGATTCGAACCCACGACCTTCGGTTCAATACGCCGCTGCTCTCCACTCGGACACCAACTCCCCATCTCAACCTACCTAACCTACGTTTCGAATTATCCATTTTTTTGCCATTTTCCAAATGTTGTGTAATCAGCATTCGATTTTCGGCGACATAGAAGTGGCCACGGAGATTAGATTCGAATTCCCAGTTAGAGCAGCGGCGTATTGAGCCGAAGCTCGTAGGTTCGAATCCCGCTCGTGACACTAGCTTTTTCACTTCAACCAATACCTTACATAAAAAGATTAATTAATTGAAAGAAGTTATTTGGTCAATCGGAAAATATAATGGATTTGGAACTAAATTTTAAAATACACCAGTGTCTTCCAGGCTGAAGTTCGTGCGATTGCTGAGAGATGTATTCAGTTCAAACTGAACGAAGGGTAAAAAGCAATAACATAACTATCATATTGGATAACAAGATAGCTATCAAAGCACATTTAAAATGAAATGAACAGCCAACGATCGGGTTTTGCACCCGATTTCATATTATTATTGACTATGTTACCTTTTCATAATTTCCGTCTGTTTGTGGAAAGCCTCCTGACCGGTACGTTTTTCGTTTTAACTTTTAACCGATTTCTACATGATAGGGAAGTTTATCGTTGGATGATTCAGCGGTTTTTTCGTTGCGCAAGGCCAGTTTAGACTCAATTTTCCGCTAATTTTTTTTTTTCTGAAGAGGTTTTATATAATTCTGTACGGTTTGATGTTCTTAAGAGAACTCGATCAAACTGTTGCCATGAATCTTTTTTTAATTTAAAATGGCCGTTTATGTTTTGCTATTTCATCTATATCCGTGTGTTTTTTTTTCAATAATTAAAACTTAAACTTTAATTTAAATTAATCACAAGAGCATTTTGTTTTTCTGTGTATTGTTTTAAAAGGACAGATCTGTTCTGGTCCTACATTACGCCGTGAATCATCGTTTTATTTTCAACCCTTTGCATTTATTCAGTTTAAATTCACAGAAATGCCTCTTTCTCGCATAATCTTTCATTCAAAATTTACAAAATGTTTAATTTGGCTTAAAAAAGAATTGTACATTACACATATGTGACTGTAAAATTGTAAACTATTAATACTACTAAAAATATAATTCTTAAAAATTAAAACTTAAAATTAGCTATTGATTAATTTTAACAATATTTGATACATTAATTGCTTAATGTTAAGAGGAAATACTTTCCCAAAATGTTTAATCGCGGCGGGATAACAAGTTGAATCTCAAGTGGGCCGGAACGACAGATCGGTTATGCTGGTTTGCATATAAACAACGCCGTTTTTTTCACATTTTCATCATTTTTACTTCAATCAAGTGAAACATAAAACTTTATGTTTCACTTTAACTGTTTTTTCATCATCCTTGATTCAGGTCCGCATGTTCCCGCTACGAATTTTGATCAGGCACATTCCCTTATTGTCTTATCTCTAGACCTGAATCACTGTGGCATTTGTTGTCTGCATTGTTTGGTGTCTTTTGTTATTAAGGATTAACTGTTGTATAGCATTTGACCATGAAAGCCTCCTGTACAAACTAAAGTCCGTCCTTCCAAATACCCTCTATGTAACCAAATGATTCTTCAGAGTCTGCCAAGGATCAGCCTACTCCAACAATTGTCCTCTGGGAGCGGGTGTACCTCAGGGCAGCGTACTTGGACTAGTATTTTTACCTCTTTATATCGCAAATATCCCAACTTCACTCTCCACCATCCTTGCATCCCTTGTCGATGACAGCTGTGCTATTCCCTCATCTTGATCCCACATCTGCTTCGGACCTCCATGTATGTGCCCTGCAAATAACCAAATGGAGCAAAAACTAGTGTATAAATCTCAATAAAACCATAAGCACCCACATATCTCACTTTGAAGCGAACCCCATCATACAATATTTCTCATCCTAAAAATAAACAGCGTACACTACCTTGGATTCTATCTATACTCAAGACTAACCTTGAACCAACAACTAAAACGACAGGCACTAAACCAACCTTTAGAACTATTCTACAGACTACCGTCACACAAATTGAATGTTTCAACAAAAAACAAACTGACATTTTAGAAGACAATAGTAAAACCAACCTGGACGTATGGACTAGAACTTTAGGGCACTGCTAAACCTTCCAATCTAAAGTCCTAAGTCAACATCCCTTACTACGTCCCCAACATCACCCTTCACAATGACCTCAAAATCCTTCCCACATAAAAAAATAAATATATAAAATAACATAAAAATAAAAACAAAATATTTTCAGCTTTCTATAATAAACACTCCTCTCAACCTAAATGAGTTGCCCAATCCTCATCCAATAGAAACCACCCTTATAATCCAACCAGATAATTGAAAAAAAGTAGGCCTCGCAACTTACTAACTGTGGATTAATCTTCATGTTTAGTTGGGGTAGTAATGGTTGTTAATTCCTCCTCGTGACACATGATCTATGTCATTTGTAAATTCAACTCATTGCATATTGTAAATAACTCATTAAATATTGTTATCATTTTCATTGCATTATTTCCTTGTAATGTATAGAAGATAAATATTATATGTACAAAAATAAACAATTTGCTTTCTTGATGATGAGGTTTTTAAAAATGTCTTTAGGGAGCAGGACGCAGATAAATATGCTGACGTCTTATATCGATGCCAACTTCATGTATGGTTCAAACTTCAGGACTGCCGATTCTCTCCGAGTCCTTCAGTCAGGCTTGATGAAAACCCTGCCCAAATTTGCTCATCTGGGACTCAAACCACTTCTACCTTTGAAGACCAAACAACCTGATGATGGGTGCATTCGCTACTCGCCAGATATTTATTGCTTCCTTGCAGGTTTCTTTTTCAATAAATACACTATTAAACCTGGTTTTTTCTTCCAAAAATAATACATAAAAACACATGAAAGTAACAGTTTTATATTTTTATATTGGAAAATTTCATTACTTGGATCATTTTAAAAGTTTGTGAGGAGGAATTTATATTAAAAAGTAAAATTAGCAATTTTTTTTAACAAGGTGATAGTCGAGTAAATGAGCAACTTGCGCTAGGAGTCCTCCACACATTGACTGTTCGAGAACATAATCGAATTGCAACTGAATTAGCCAAAATTAACCCGTACTGGGATGATGAGACTATTTATCAGGTACTCTCAGCAACCTATTAAAAAAGGATGTACTAATAGATCTTCATTCACACATTTTCAGGAAACGAGGCACATCTTAGCAGCACTCATACAACACATAACCTATAATGAATTCCTTCCCGTCCTTCTTGGTGAAAGAGTGATGGAACAGTACGGGCTTAATCTTCAAAAGGAGGTAGAAACTTTTATCGCAATATTATTGTTTAACAATAACTGTTTTAATTCAATCAGGGATATTCAACTGATTATGATCTGAATGTCGATGCCACTATCCCGGCTGCATTTGGTGCAGCAGCGTTCAGATTCGGCCATTCACTTCTACCATCTACGATCGAGAAAAGAAGTTCAACTCATGCGCTAATTGGTAATTTTCTAACTGAGTCGATATAGACGATAAATATAATTATTGCTTATATAGGTGAAAGAAAGTTGAGTGAAATGCTGCAACAGCCTTTTGATCTGTACCATCCTGGGATGGTGGATGCCTATACTTTGGGCATGCTCAGTCAAGTATCACAAGCCATGGATAATTCCATAACATCTGAGGTATAATAATTAGTATCATGTAAAACATAGTTTACAAATATAGATTGCATGAATTTACAAAATGCTCTCAACCTAGAACTTAATTAATTTTATCAAACAAAAAAAGTTGTAACATTCACTTTATAAACAAAGATGTAATAGCGCTTATTACCAAAAATTCTAGTCTTAGAGCTAAATGTAAATCCTGATCAAGTTTGTTACAATTATTATTAACTTTTTTATCTCAACCAAAGCCTTAATTAATTGAAAATTATTATTTACCTAATATGAAAACTCAATTCAATCAAATATTAAAAACTTTTAGTGTTATATAAATTCCACAAAATAGTCTTCTGCTATGCACACTATAGCCGACAGTTGTCAGGTAGATTCTGTATACGTCGATTTTTCCAAGGCCTTCGACAAAATTGCTCATAAAATACTTATTTCAAAGCTAGAAGCGAAATCTACAGCTTTGGCAGCACAGTTATTTATCTGAACACACTCAAATAGTTAAAATCAAGTCTTTTAGACCTCTTCCATTTTCTGGTGTGCCACAAGGCTCCCATCTTGGTTCTTTTCTCTTTTTCCTTTTCATTAATGAAATTCACATTGCTCTATCAGATACCAGGTTTTTTCTATTCGCTGATGACCTAAAATATATACAAGAATTTATTCTACCTTAGATTGCATTAATTTACAAACGCTCTCATTAATCTTTCTGACTGTCAAACTAACAACTATTCTTAAATAATTCTAAATGTTTTACTATCACTTTTTCTTAAAAAATCTTCTATTTTCCATTCTTATAATATTAATCACAGCTGGTTAACCATAGTAACTTGTATTAGCGATCTTGGCTTCATCTTTGATAGTAATCTTACCATTAAGCTACATTTACAAGAAATCAAAAATCGCTTCTTTAAAATGCTTGGCTTCATCAGCCAAAGTACCTAGTATCAGTTCAAAAATCCTCTTGCGCTGTCCATCTATATAATTGATTGTTCGACCTTTTCTTGAATATGCCTCAATCATCTGGAATCCACACTACTACAATGTTCTTCAAAATGTTCAAAATAAATTCCTTCCTACATTAGATTTCAAATTAAACCATCACAATGATAAATCCTCTCATGCTCCCATTAAATCTTACTTCTATATTTCTGATCTTGGCTGTAGAAGAAAGTATTTTGAGACTATTTTTATTTCCAAATTACTTAATAATTGTACAGATTCCCCTGAAATCCTTGGCAACTCCAATTTTATGTACCTCCTTGCTAGCTCAGAAATAAGAAAATATTTTCACTGAATATAAAATGAACAGATTTTTCACTACACTCCTCGATGCATCACATTATGATAGAATGTAACAACATATGGAATGCTGTTGATTTATTTAATACTTCTGTTTCCTCATTAAAACATCAATTACTTAAATCATAATAATTTTATTTAATAAAAAAAGAAGCTAAACATGTTCTATGTATGTAGTTATAATGCTTTATTATATTATTTTTATATTCACTAGTTTCGTGGTCCGCTTGACCAATTAATATCTTACAATTAATTAAGGTTTTCAGTCGAGATAAAAAAGTCAATGGCACGAGCAAGATTCGAACCCACGATCTTCGGCTTGATACGCTGCTGCTCTACCACTTGAGCTATCGTGACCTCGATCCACCCTCCATCCACACCAGAATCCAATCCGATTACACGATATTTGAAAAATGGCGAAAAGAAGGGAAAATTCTAAAGGTTGGGTTGAGATGGTAAGTTAGTGTCCGAGTGGATCGAAGTCACGATAGCTCAGGTGGTAGTGTAGCGGTGTATCTAGCCGAAGGTCGTGGGTTCGAATCCCGCTCGTGCCATTGACTTTTTTATCTCAACTGAAAACCTTAATTATTTTTATATATTTTTTTACAATTCCTGGTCATTATAATTATATAGGCAGGGTGTTTAATTAAATCTTTATGTTGTTTTATTTACAAGGATTTTATTGTCTTTTCATTAATTTATGGTATAGGTTTTATTCTTTATTAATGTTGAGTTAGTTATAAGCATTGTATTGTATATATTTTTTTCTCCTTACTGTTTTTTTTTTTTTACCCGTAAAAAGATAAAAAATTATATAAAAAATGAGGATCAAAGTATTATTATTGTCCACAGTGCTAAATTAATTTCTTAACAACACAAACAATGAATATCTTTTATAAATAGCAACTAGTGTTTATGTGTAATCTTAAATTCATATTTTTAGGTTACGAATCATCTGTTTGAAGAGCCAACCAAGCATTTCGGTAGGGATTTGGCAGCTATTAACATTGCCAGGGCAAGGGAGCACGGAATTCCAGGTTACATGGCGTATCGTAAACTCTGCGGTCTCGATGACATGAAAACCTGGGATGACATGTGGAACCATTTACCCAATACCACTGTCAAACATTATTTGAATCTTTACAGGTAGATACGTAATAATGTAATAAATGCATTTCTAATTTTTTTTTTTTCGCGCTTTCATAGCCATCCAGATGATGTTGATCTATGGTCAGCAGGAGTATCAGAACTTAAATCTCCTGACAGCATCGTCGGCCCAGTCTTTTCCTGCATTATTGCGATGACTTTCAAAAGGCTGAAAATCGGTGACAGGTTCTGGTATGAAAATCAAGGCTTTCAGAATTCCTTTACAAAAGGTTAGTAATAAAACATCTTTTGCACAGGTATTTTGCAAATGCACAAGTTTTATGCATTTATTAGATGATTTTTGTGGTATTCAGTGTTGGATAGAACATGCAGTCAAACAAACATAAAAATGAGAAAATATTTAAAGTATAGATTAATTATTTGAAAAAATAATGATGGATTTATCCCATTTTTATATTACTGATTATGGTTGAATACTTGCAATATAAAAATAACTTATTAAATTCACTAGTTTTCGTGGTCAGCTTGACCAATTAATATTTTCAACTAATTAAGGTTTTTAGTTGAGATAAAAAAAGTCAGTGTCACGAGCGGGATTCGAGCCCACGACCTTCGGCTAGATACGCCGCTACTCTACCACCTGAGCTATCGTGGCTTTGATCCACTCAGCCACTAACTTCCCATCTCAACCCCACTTTTTTTTTCTCAACTAAAAACCTTAATTAATTGAAATATAAAAAAATAACGTTCATCCCTGAATTACCAAGAGATATAATTAATGCTAAATTAACTGAAAACAATAACTTGCCCATTTCAGGTCAACTGAGGGAGATTAAAAAATACACTCTATCTCGTTTGTTCTGCAATACAGGAGATAACATCCAAACGATACAAAGAAAGGCTTTGCTTCTTCCCCATTTTGAAGAGTGAGTGTCACAATGACTTGATAAAAAGTCTGATATTAACTTTGTTTGTTCTTTTTCTATTTTTCAAGCAATCCAAGGGTATCTTGTAAAAGTCAGGAAATACCAGACATTGACCTCTCATTATGGAAAGACTCTTCAAATTTTGAAGATGAAAAGGTAATCACTTCAAAACCCTATTTATTTTCTTAGTCACGAATAGATGTATGATTTATATCTTTTATTAGCTACCGGCATCTTTAGATGTTTTTCTGGCACCGTATGAAACTTACCCACCACCAAAAGATCCTTACTCACCACCAAAAGATTCTTACACATTGCCAAAAGATCCTTATGCACCACCGAAAGGACCTTACTCACCACCAAAAGATCCTTATGCACCGCCGAAAGATCCTTACTCACCGCCAAAAGAATCTTACACGTTGCCGAAAGATCCTTACGTCCAGCCCACGAAGGGGTCGCACGTCACCATAGAAGAACCGTTTCACCCTACAATAGACTTGTACGTCGAATCGTCCAAAGACCCCTACATCGATCCGACAAAAAGTTCACATGAAGTGGTGCACACTACACCTTCCAAGGTGGAGTTTTCAAAACCACCGGGCTTTGACCAGGTGGTGTTCAATCTAATATATGACAAGAGAAACAAATCGCATGCAATACTCCACCTGACAGACACTTACGGAGTTGCAAATAACATAGATCATTATCCTGAAAGGGCTGTCAAGTTGGAATAAATTAAAACTGCTGTAAAAAATTACAAATTGAAAATACTGTAAATATAATATTGGCCGACTATTTATTTATTTATTCTGTTTCATGATTTAAAAATCATGGTTTAAGCATTAAAAAATAAAGAAGTGTTTTATAAATATTGAACAAGCATTATCCTATATTTTTTAAATACTGTAAATATATTTTAACATTTAATTTGTAAAAACTGTAAATTATTTAATAACAATTATTTTATTTGTTTAGTTTTTTTATTTCTCCTTATTATACATATACGAATACCATTTTATTTGTAATTTGTACTGTTTCAAAAAAGAAAATCTTGAACAGTATATGTTTATTTTGTAAATTAAATCATTGTCTGAGGATCAGAAGTTTTGTAAATTGTTTATTTGTGATTTACAACTGCACAAATAATAAAAGTGCAATTACTAAATTTGCTCAATGTCAAGTTTGATAAAAGTAATTTCTAAATGTCAGTGCTCTTCTAAAGAAAAAAATAAAATATCAATTTTAAGAACTAGGGAATTAAACAAATTTAAACAAATTGAAAAAATAATAAATAATTTATTTACAACATTACATAAATTGTATAAAATATCGCAGCATTCAGTGGGAAATAAAAAATCAAAGTTTTTTTAAAAAATTTTTTAACACACACTTGATTTGATTAATAGGTCCATCATATCTACCGTTCAATTCATTGAGTACGGACATTAAGTACATGTGCACTCGGCTATCTCTCGAATGATAATTTGTTTTGATTAGGAGAAATGGGGGTCATAATATTACCTATTCATTCAATGCCCGTGTACCCTAAAAATTAATCTATATGACTAACAAACAAAATAGTGCTTTTTATGACACAACTCTTGAGACGTTTGTACAAGTTTGAAGCGCACTGGGAAATTTGAATTTTTTCTAATGACTTACTTTCAGGTAGATGTATGGGTTTAAGAAAACATTAAAAAAACAAAACAAAAAATTAAGTGCATGTGCACTCGGCTATCTTTTGAATGATAATTTGTTTTGATTTGGAGAAATGGTGTCATAATATTACTTATTAATTCAATCCCCATGTATGCTACATATTACACTACATGACTAAAAAATAAAATTGTGCTTTTTATGACACAACTCTTGAGATGTTTGTATAAGTTTAAAGCGCACTCAGAAATTGGAATTTTTTCTAACGACTTACTTGCGGGTAGATCTATAGATTCAAGAAAACATTACCAAGGACGAATGTCTTTTACAATCTGCAATCAAAATTAAATTAAATTAAAAGCGGACATAAGTTATTATTACATAAGTTATTATCTACTGAATAAAAATTAATGAGAATTTCATCATCTATTGGACTTTGACCAATGGAAAATTATATTGACAATACTTTTATTATTTTTCCATTCGTTTTATCTAGAATGAGTAAGAATTTAAGTTTACAAAAAACCAACTGTCAAATTGTTAGAAAGAAAAAAAAAATTCTTTACAACAATCATCAAAATAACATCAGGCACACACATGCAAAAGATTAACTTGTTTTCCAACTTATTATTATCAATAAAAAAAGACACTTACAGTCCATAGTTTCATTTAGTTTATATCCAAGAAACAGGAAGCAGACAGGACCTAGAGCTGCAAATGCAAAAACCCATCCGAGCTGAGTTGGGGTCATCATATCGAGAGCTTTGTAGATCCACTTTCCTTCGTTATTGTAATAGCTAAAAAATCTACAGCAGAAATTGATTTAATTTACAGTTATTAACTTGATTTATCCGTTTAACTTACACATAAGAGTATACGGCAAGGAATGCCACAAGCCCTGAGAGAGATGATATTTTCGAGGGCCCTTTTGAGTTTGATGTCATCATGTATATCACAGAAAGAGGAACGGGTAAAGTGTGCATCACGTGGTTTATCCACGGGGGGAACAATTCCTCGACAATGGGTGGGTAAATCAGGTTTCTATCCCAGAAGTAAACCGACCAAAAAAGTAGGAATACAGACTGAAAGCAATAAATTTATATTTTAATCAAATTCACGAATGAAAAAAAATTAATACTTACCCATGAAAAAGGGAAAACGATTGTGAAGAGAAGATAACTTGCAATACGATTCATATAATCTTGAAGCTTAAGTAATAACTGTGTCTTTTGAGAGTAAACATCAATAATATCAAGTGCGGAACATATTCCAAAATAAATGTGTTGAACTACCTGAAAACAAATAAAAATCAACTTTTAGGAAAAACTACAATTTTACTGTGCTTGTTAAATACATTTAAATTTTAAATCAATTTACCGTCACCCATAAACTGAGATATAGCCCTCGGCAGTTCCAACAATGTAGTAAAAATTGATTTTCAAATAAATGAGCTTTTGTCATCGTTGCAGAAGCCAATAGAAATAATCCGCTAATCATTGTTATGATGTTGACCACAGAAACAGAAGTGTGAAGACATCTATTAAATAACTTAATGTCCATTTTCCCTGAATAAAATATCACTCGACAGTTATAAACAACACTATACTTCTTAGTTCTTCGATTTCCCAACACAGACTGTTTACTTAATAGCTCTAGTACACTTTATCTCAACTGTAAGATTATCTTGTTATATTACAATTAAATTCACTCGATGAGTATGTGTCTAAATAACATATTCTATCTTATCAACAAAGCTCAGATTTATCAGAATTATTATTTTTTTTGTAATGTGTAGTTCTCTAAAGAAACTATCTACCTGTCTTATCTTTCCTATTCCAAACTTAGATTATTTCGTAGGATGGTTTATAAAATCTCAAAGGGAATTTAGACAGGATTATCCTTTCAATTTTCAAAACATTTATATATTTTTAACTAATTCCTCAATTTGGAAAAATAAAACTTATTATTGTCATAATTTACTTGTTTTTTATTCTCTAATTGCTCTACTCAAAGTTATGTAAACCTGTTTCAATAATACTCTTGTTTTAGGCAGGTTGTTGCAAAGGTTAATGAACTACATGGATTTTTTAAATACATTTTTTTTAACTTTTAATACATTAAATTTTAACTTTTTATGAACATTAAAGTAACTTTACAATACGTCTTCCCCCCCCCCCCAAATGATTCTCAAATAAAATTTCAAGGGATTCAAACCCAGAACTGCTACCATATCAAATACAGGGGTGGGATGCCATAACTTGGCTAATACAGTCCCAAATTTTTATGAATAAATAAATATGTATATAATTAAAATAGTGAAAAGGCAATAAAGGTAAAAATAATACTTGAGCTCTATCTAAATGATTATTTTTTAAAATTAAATTCAGTTAGTAAACTTCATAATACATTAAAGGTAATAGATGATAAAAATTCTTGAGCACTATCTAAATTATTATTTTTCGTCACTTGTTATTCTTTTCTTGTTTAATTAATAAATTGTTTCAAAAAATTGAATTAAATTTTATTATAAAAAGGCATCTAATCGGTTTTTATTCAGGTCGAACCAAGACTTCCTGGGGGGGGGGGGGCTCTGTGCCTAATAATTAGGATTCAGAGTTGGGCCCATCTTGTTGAAACTAGAAGAAACCGTATCATATGTATACTCAAAATTTGGGCATTTAAAAGAAAAAAGATTATAGTGTATTTTACCCAAGCCACACGGACACTTCATTAAAAAAGATCATTGGTAAAATTGGTTAAAAAATAATTGCTGTGTCACTTGCTTTGGTGGGTGGGCTCAGCTCCTTCTTTCGAGGTAAAATCACCGTGACTAGATGTGGGATAAAGCCAGAGGGGGAAAATGGTTTTTGTTGTAGAAGGTTGAAATTAAAACAACATGTTAGAAAATTGTTCAATTTTTTATTTTGTGAACAAAACTCTGAAAGCATGCAGGTATGGTAACAAAATTTGAAAAAATACAGCTTCTTAATGCTGCTTTCCTTAAAAATAAAATACATAAATATTTCCTTCAATATACATTTTATATAAAAATATTAAAAATTTCTATTTCTACAGTCGCTAGTTCGTTCAGCAGTCTTTTTTTACTGGACCTTAGTGTCTTTTTTTAAGTAGCTATTTGTAGCATCTGTAAAAACAAAAAATAGAATAAATATTATTTTTGTGCATATAATATAATTTCACTGAAACATCAAGGAGAACAAAATTGAACAGGCCTTTTACCTTTTCTTGTAAAACAATTTTTTAAAATATTATTTGTACAATAGAAATTTCTTACTTCATTCAGGGTTAAAACAACAACTGAAAATTGAATGTAATCTTTCAGTTGAATCAAATGTTTGGTAATTTATACTAAAATAGCTGAAATGTAAATGACACTCCTGATTGTACGACTTTTGGATAGTCAAGAAAGACTTTGTTAAGTTGTTGTTAATAAACATAATTGTTAGGCCACTATCGCAATATCTGGATTTGGCAAAGGAAGAAAAAAACAAGGGAAAGGCAAAGACCAAGTCATCCCATGCTAGACTTCAATTCATAATGAAAAGAATGTAAGTTTTTCAAAGATGAGATTTACCATTTAATACTATTTGAAGTTTATATCCCACAAAATGAAAGACAAAAGGTCCCAGCAGGCTGAATGCCATCAGCAATACTGTCTGTGTTGGTGTTGAGGAATTGAAGACGAAGTACAACCATTGTCCAGTCATAAGTCGATGTTTAATTAAACTTAACAAAGAGCAAACAAGCAATGGTTAAAATCTGTTAAAAAATATTTTAAAAAAATATTAATAATTACAAGATTAAATATACTGCCATGAACACTAGTAGACCTAAAAAGGTGTTAGTTTTTGATGGCAGTTTTTGGTTGGTTGTCGCCATATAAAAAATTGCCAGAGGCAGAGGATACGTGTGCATAAAGTGATTGAGCCAAAATGGCAGATACTCATCTACAACATTCGGATATACTTTCTCTCTGTCCCATAAGAATATTGTCCAAAATAAGATAGAGACCATCTGAAAAAATAACTGATATGTAAAAAGTAAGTAAAAAAGATGAATTACACAAACAGATAGACTAAAACAATGAAGTGTTGCATTAATGATTTCATTAAAACAAAATTTACATTACGTGTGCTACATAATAATTTGAAATTATGCTACCAGCGAGCATACCTTTTAAATATGTCACTTTTATGAATTTATGGTTTATTATTAGTATACAAAATGCATACTTTTTATTTCCTATGTCAACAGTAGTGACTGTTTTATATGTTGTACATTGAGACTGGCATAGAACTGTTGTTTGTTTATTCTTTAAGGTTACATTTTAAATTCACTAATTTCGTGGTCCGCTTGACCAATTAATATATTACAATTAATTAAGGTTTTTAGTTGAGATTAAAAAGTCAATGGAACGAGCAGTATTCGAACCCACGATCTTCGGCTAGATACACCACTGCTCTACCATTTGAGCTATCGTGACCTTGATCCACTTGGACACCAACCTTGGCAGACCACCTTGGACACCAACCTTATTTTGGACAATATTCTTATGGGACAGAGAGAAAGTATATCCGAATGTTGTAGATGAGTATCTGCCATTTTGGTGTCAACCCTGAAAAATGGCAAAAAAGAGGGAAAACTCAAAAGGTGGGGTTGAGATGGGAAGTTGGTGTCTGAGTGGATCGAGGTCACGATAGCTCAAGTGGTAGAGCAGCGGCATATCTAGCCGAAGGTCGTGGGTTCGAATCCTGCGATGCCATTGACTTTTTTATCTCAACTAAAAACCTTAATTAATTGTGTTACATTTTAAGTTTATTTTGAAATAGCTTCAAGCTCCTGATTCTCGCCTGGCAAAAATCACATCACTTGAAGTTATTAAGGGTAACATATCCTGGTTCAAATCCTGGAATTCTCTTGCGGAGAGGTATAATGTGGCTCGGTTCTCTTTGGATAATTCTACAGCGTGGTCTGAAATGTTTTCCAATTTTCTTCATATTATGGGGGCTCGTCATCGGGAGAGTTGTATTTCTCGTGCCTTGGATTCGAATAGATTCCAACTCTACAAGGAGTTGAATCATTCCCTAATACCTTGCCATGTTTTTTCTGCTCCAGCAAATGATGCTCCGTTCTCTTTTTTTCACTGGTGGTTTAAAATTCGAGGGGAGTTGTTGTTCCTGAATTTCAGGCCTTGGGTTGGGGGATAGTCCTGCCACTGCAGTTTCTCTATGCAACTCAGGTGATCGTGAGGATGCATTTCATTTTTTTGCTAGATGCTCGGTCCTTAACGAATTAAGGTATCTGTATGTGGGTACGGGTTTTCTGACGAGGGAAGAGCTTATAGCCCTTCTGAATGGCTCGGATGCCGAGGTCTTGTTGATTCTGCTCGTAAAGCCTGGTTTTACAGATATGAATATATTGGAATGTAGGGAATTAATATTCTGTTCGTCTTATTTTGTTTCCTTTTTTGCTCTCGCAGGTAATACATAATTTCTACTTTGTGGGCTTCTAAATGCGAATTCTGTTTGCCGGTGGGGGACCCTTTGAGAGTTGGAATCCTTGTTCTTTGAAGTGTCATTATTATTATTTTCAAAGTTTATTGCATTTCAATCTTGTAATTTGAAAATCCTGTAAATAATTGTAACCTCTGAAGTTGATATTGTAAATTCTCCTTTTCTTATGATTATGTAATTATGTATATTCTTGGAATAGTAATGCACTCCGAACTCTGGCTGACGGTGTTAATACAATGCCATAATAATACTGTTTTTTATTTTTAACTCTAAATTTCTTTCATTGTAAATAAAGTATATCTAGTAGTAGTATATCTATCATTGTGACTGTTAAATTGTCTTGTAAGATTTCAATATAAGTTTTTAATATAATATAACTTTTAATTTTTTAAATATTTAATATAACTTAATAAAAGTGAGTTGTCAACTTACGACTGCAAATGGGAAAACTACGCTGAATAAGATGAAACTTCCAAGAGAGTGTAAGTTATTCACCAACTTTACAAGGGATTTTGTAGGTGGAACCCTTTCTATAATGTCTATCGCAGAATAAATTCCAAAGTAAAAATGGTGAATCATCTATGAAACAAAAAAAATACGACATAATAGAAATAAGTTTCATTGGAAGAATATTAAAACTAGAGAACATTTTCATGAGAGATATGAACCTTGACCTGCTATTGTAAAGGTAAGAATAATTAAAAAAAAAAAATGAAGTAGTTATAAAATAGAATTATATTTTATTATTATTACACAGAGGGCCCATGGCAGTCATAGGCTCCATTCCCACTCCCACCCTCCTCTCTTTTTTCATGCTTCCCTTCCGCCAAAAAATTATATATGATGAAACAGCAAATGTAAATATAGTCTGGCTGATAAGCGTGTCATAAGGCCATTTAAAAAATGAATAAATAAATTTTTGGAAAATTTGTACATCTAAATTTTTAACATATTGAATAAATATTATTAACAATGGTGGTAATAAATAGAACTCAATTTTTTCAGCAATCAAGGAAAAATAACTACATTAAGTATATATTTTCAATATTAGTAAATTTTTTTAACCTAATTTTGACCTGTTAATAGTCCAATTCCTTTATTAATTCATTTCTCCCCTTGCATTTACCACAATTACATAAAATATTGTTTGATATTATTGTTTATGAAGTGGCAAACAATTGAATTAAATTATGTTTATTTTCATTTACAATCATAATTAAAATATATATAAAAAGAAAATTACACACTATAAAATATAAAATTGTACTCTGTTTTCTTAACAAATAATAACGTAATAAAATAATGTCCATAATAAAATAATAGACTAATAATTAAATTCTTTTACTAACATATTTCTATATAATAAAGATGCTTTTGTAAAGAGAACTAAATCCTTCTAATTATTACCATTAAATAATGAAAAAAATATCAACTGAAAAATAATTTTTAAAGAAGAGCTATCTGTGATGCTCAGTATGGGACACTGATAGAAAATGGAAGGTGTTTTCTGCTTTATTTATTTGTATAAAGAACATTTATAGACACGGTTTATAATTGAGATTCAGCACCTCCTTAAAATTTGAAAATAATCTCTTTATATTCTGATGTCAAAATTTGATTCATGTAACTGACTTTATAATATAAATGTTTGTACAATTCATGAAAGTTTGAACTATTCATTAGCCCTTCTAATTTTTTCTTTGGTCCGCACAATTACACTCAATAGCAATTTAGGTTGACTCGTTCATTTAAAACTGGAGCATGCATCTGGATGTACATTGTATCTTCTCACCAGCTGCAGCTAGTTTATAAACCAAAACATTTTGTAATTTCTAGCTATTGCATGTGTTGTTCTTTCCTGGCTGTGATTAAGTAATTTAATAAAATATAAAAAACAGCGAAGTTTCAGGTTGCAAGAAAAAATTGGCCCCGTTTTTAAGATAAAATGACAATCTGCAAATACAATCTTAACTTCTTTGTATATGTGATGAAATTGTGCATTACTCTGTTTAATTTAAAAAAAAAGTTTGCTGACAGTTTAATTTTAAAGAATCTTTAATTAATTTAACTTTGTTGCATATACCTTTTATCCTTACTCATGTTCATCTTTTTTAAGTCATAATTATACATATTTTACAAGGGGACTGTGGTAACTGTTTTATCAAGTGAATAGAAGATATTTTTTTAAATTAATTAATATTTTCCAAACCAGGAAAGTATAATATACAATACTAATTGCTGCAATATTTGATTTTATTTGCATAATTAACACCTCTGCTTCTTTTAACCGACCAGTAGCTATTTGTCATTTTTTGTTTAATTCCATTCTAATATTCTTCTATAGCACAATTAATTAAGGTTTAATTAATTCCTCTGCAGTCAAGTTTTAGGACCGATTTTATATAATGTATGTAGGTGATTATTGGGCCACGGTGTCCGAGTGGTTAGGGTGACCAATTTGTACTTGCCATGCTAGCTAGCGGTTCTGGCTTCAAATCTCAGCACGACGATTTTAAAATGAGAATAGTGTGAAAGTATTGGGTTGTCCGGAAAATAATGCAGGATTTTGGTATTAAACAAAAAAAAAGAAACTAGTTACTTTAAAGCAATGTTCTTTAATCAAACTCAATACATTTCTCCCAACGTGTTGGTAACTTATTAATTCCGTCTGAGTAGAATTCAGAATTTTTAGAATTGATAAAGTCAATAAATGCATTTTCCAGTTCCGTTTGATTTTTGAATATTATGTGTTGTAAGTAGTGGTCCAGGTGTCTAAAAAAATGGTAGTCAGTAGGCGAGAGGTCCGGAGAGTAGGGTGGGTGAGGCAAAGTTTCATAGCCAAGCTCCAATAATTTTTGTGACGTTACACGTGACACATGTGGTCGAGCGTTGTCATGCAACAAAATGGGCCCTTTCCGATTGACCAAAGAGGGCTTCATTACTGCCAATTTCTGATGCATGGTATTAATTTGGTTACAGTATGATTCAGCATTGATGGTTTCGCCAGGATTTAAGAAGCTGTAGTGTATTAAACCAAATGAAGCCCACCATACCGTAACCATTACCTTTTTTTGATGAGTTGGGGGCTTTGGAAAATGTATTGGAGCTTCTCCTTTGTCGAGCCACTGTCCAGAACGTCTAGTGTTATCGTAGAGAATCCACTTTTCGTCACATGTAACAATTCTGGCCAGAAATGGGTCATTTTTGTTTCGACAAAGAAGTGATGCACAAACATCAAAGCGCTGATTTTTTTGGCGATCGTTTAATGAGTGTGGAACCCAATTTTCGAGTTTTTTCACTTTTCCAATCGCCTTGAGGTGGTCAGCGACGGTCGTTTTACTGACTTTGAGTTGCTCTGCAAGTTCTCGAACAGTTGTTTTGGGGTTTTCTTCCACCACTGATCGCAGAACATCATCATTAAGAGAGGAAGGCCTTCCACGACCTTCTTCATCTTCAAGGCTGAAATCTCCCTCCCGAAATTTTTTAAACCACCTTTGCACAGTGCACTCATTAACACAACCCTCGCCCCAGACTTGGTTAATGTTTCTAGCCGTTTGGGCTCCGCTTCGGCCGAGTTTAAACTCGTAAAAGAAAATCGTACGAAATTCTCGCTTTGACATTATAAGGACGACTGAATTATTTCCAAGTAGCGGAATGCTACAGAGGTAAACAAACAATATCATTTGGAAGAGGATTAATAAGTGTTGACATTCATACAAATGAGTAATCCTGTAAACGTAAACAGAATATTTTATATAGATTTTTTTTAATGAAAACTTAAAATCCTGCATTATTTTCCGGACAACCCGATATTATTGTTCTTGCCTTAATTTTCACAATTATTTACTTGTTTCTTTTCTTCTTTCAGAGAGGCATTGCCTTTTTGGTAATAATTCATTTATTGAGATCTTTTTTAGCTGGAAGCATACTGACTGCAATATTTAATTTTTCTATCATTAATTGTCAAATTTCATTACTAATATATACATTTATGTAAAAACCCACAAATTTTCACATCAAACCACATACAATGATGTAAAATTCAGAACCGATGTAAACACCTCTTGTCTGTACAGTGTCTCAAGGCAAATCAATAAAAATAACATAAATATCTAAATTATCTAATATTTTTGATTATTGTTATTACTGGACTAAAAGTATTTTTTAGTTTGGTGTGAATATTTATTTACTTGAACTTTCAATTTCAATTAGAAAAATAAAAAAATTGACTGACTTGAATTACCTTAAGCTTTAAATTACATGCCAGTTTGGCAATTAAATATATATCAAAAAATGGCCATAAATATCTACTAAATGTAATAATTTAATAAAGTAAAGTAATTCCTATTATATGGGAGGGCTTAAGTCCCGTTGGGTGTCACAGGGGGTCAAACCACTTTACAATACATTTTTTATACTATGTATTAATTAAAAAGCCATGGACCACCGCTAGCATGGCAAATATGGGTTAGGTGCCCTAACCTCTCGGCCAATGATGTAAACACAAAATAATAATTTATACATAACATATTTTGTAACTCATCTGATTAATTTTTTTAAACATTATTGTTGTAATATTCTAAAATATTGAAGATCAAAAGAGGTCAAGAGTCAGCCTACATCAGCATGGTGCTTGAATAATGAATACACAACAGATAACTTAATAACTGGAAACAGCAGTTCCAAACATCACAAAAAAACTATTTGTAGGTATGAGGCTTTATACTATGTACTAATTAAAAAGCCATGGACCACCGCTTGCATGGCAAATATGGGTTAGGTGCCCTAACCTCTTTTTTCAAACTTTTCAAAAATAATTCCACTACAAAATACACGAAATAGTAAATGCCAAGAAGTACAATGTCAGAATAAAATAACTTAGAACATCTTTTATTTTTATATGAGAAACAATATTAGTATGGTATGATGAATTCCTAATAATTAATAGGGCATTCAACATAGATGATAATTTCAATTTATTATCATTTTTATATAAGGTCTTGGTTGAGATGAAAAAGTTAGTGCCGCGAGCAGGATTCGAACCCCCGGCCTTGGGGGACCGCGGTAGCCGAGTGGTTAGCAAGAGAGACTCTCATGCCACAGTCGTGGGTTCGATCCCCCTCTCCTCTGGCCCTTTTTTCACGATAACCCCCCCAATTTGAACACACATAAAAGAATTGTCACCATGGCTAATCTGCAAAGATCATAACGCCAAAAAAAAAAAAAAAAAAAAATCCTGCTCATAACACTAGCTTTTTATCTCAATGAAGACCTTACATAAAAAAATTAATTGAAATAATTAATTTACTTTTTATTTTATTATATTAGGTCGTGGTCCGCTTGACACTTGATTAATTGAAATGGAATAATTAATATGATCAATTATACCACTAAACATAAATGGATTAATTGATGATAATTTATAACGAATTCATTGGAAGTGAATAAAATGATCAATTATGCGCCTCAAAAGTTTTTTGTTATAAATATTATGAACAAACTTTACCATTTTGTATATCTATTAAGAGACTTCAATGCCAAGTTAGTGGTCATTAAGTAATTATCAAAAATGCAAAGTTGAAAACATAAAGATGTAATTTTAAATAAAAGTAATTTATTATTACTAAATGTTCAATTTAAAATAAAATTAAAATAATTCCTATTATAAAGGAGGGCTTAACGTTCAACTACCCGTTGAGCGATGTGGACAAAGGGTCAAACGACTATTCAATACGTCTTTCATACAATAATACATTAAAAGGCCATGGGCTATACTTCGATTTGACCCCAGAACCATTAACATATCAAATACGAGTCGTACGCTGTAATCACTCAGCCACCATGGTCCCCAAATGTTCACTTTAATGTACATTTTCCTTTATGAACTTCACAGAATCATCTATCATACATTTTCATAACCAATATTTTTTGTAGTGTCCTTATATTGAAATATTTTTTAAACCACTTTTGTATTATTGTAATATTTACACTTAATAAAAAATAATAATTTGTTAATACTGATTACCAAAACTAAATCATAACACAAGGAATAAGTTATTCAGATATCATGAGATGTGGCGGGTCACGCATCTCACGATATCTGAATAACTATCGATTAATGGTCACTAATCTCTACACAAGGAATAAGATTTTATTAAAAAAAAAAAAAAAAATTGAAAATATGTCAAGGTATAACAAAATGATGATTGAACTTTAATAGTCAAGTTTGTACCTTAATAAATTATGCTAAAAAATTATTCTTTCAATAAATATCAGAAATAGTATTGTTCAACAAGGAAAGTCAAAAATTTGAAATTTTTGAAAAAAAAAATGTTCAAACCTACCCCAAGCCAAGTACACAACAGGTACCAGAAGTAATCTCTTCCTACACGGAAAATTTCATTTTTGTAAAATTCTTTAGGCATTTCAACGCCCAAATATAAAGCGTATCCTGCAGCAACGGCGTAAACTATGGAGACTGTTGCATGTGCAGCACATTTCATACTGTCGGAATTCATAGTGCTGCTTGGTACTCGCACTTCTTACTAGAAACTGGTCTACAAAGCTGGCCATCTTATAAATCAACCCCTTGATTGGACTGCCTATTGTCCATAAAAACTAATAATATAAATAGATATATATTATCTAATCTCAATGATTAGTGATTTGTTACTTTTTTCTGTCTAAAACCTAATCATTACAATCCCTCCAGACAGGGTTTTATCTCAGGGTTAATGAGCAATTAAAATAATGTATAGTTTCTTATATAACAATTAGTTTTCACCCACAGATTTCAAAGGTTAATAAAGATAATAAAATATAGATAAAATTTGTAAAAATATAAATATTTAAGTGATCATATTTTTTGGACAGACAGGGGTAGAAGCTCCCAAATGGAAGACTTGATCATTTTTTTCACAGATGAATCACAGAGGTACAAAGAAATGTTGTTGGTTTGACTGAACTCAGAAATGAACTGTCTGCAGATCCCGCACGGTGAAATAACCCCTTCTTCCAGATCGGCGCAAACAGCCATAATTTCAAACGTGCTTTTGCCGGAGGAAACCGCTTTTATAATAGCCGTCCTCTCTGCACAAATTGTACCTCCTAAGGAAGCATTCTCAATATTACACCCTGTAACGATGCCTGCAACAAAAACGGAGCTTGATTATTCATCTCACCATATTCACAGAGGTAAGGTTTGAAATTCATACTTCAACGGAGAGAATAAGCTAACATTTTATGTATTTTTCTCTATAAAAGTTTTTATAAATGAATAGAAACTATTCTCTTTGAAATGCTCAAATAATACACTTCAAATATGAAAACCTATGTGTGTAATAAAAATTAATTAGGATAAGAATGACTTGGAACATAACAAGAAAAAACAACAAGAAAATGCCTAATTAAATTTAATTAGCCAATGTTATGAAAATTATCCACTTTAAAGAACACTTGCAATAGAAAAAACATTCTTCATTAAAATTGATTTTGATTTTCTAGAGAAAAAAAAATTACTGGGCAAATTTTTAACATCAATTCAACAACTACTGTCCTCTCCTGATAAGAAGAAATGCCATATCTCAAAAATTTTCAATATTTGTTTTTTTTTACCATTTATAATCTTAGGTCTTGATAAAATTAACATAAATTGGTCCAGAAATATTAAAACTATCAGTTTAAAATAAGGATGTATTCTAGATAGCTTAAAATGTTTTTGAAAAAATACTAGTAAAAAAAAATTTCCAAAATTTTACTGTACGTGTTTAGGTGTGTGTGTTCTTTAAATCTCTATTCTTAGACATTATGATATAGTTAAATTCACTAGTTCCGTGGTCCGCTTGACCAATTAATATCTTACAATTAATTAAGGTTTTCAGTTGAGATAAAAAAGTCAATGGCATGAGCGGGATTTGAACCCATGATCTTCGGCTTGATACACCGCTGCTCTACCACTATCAAGCTGATAGTGCCATTGACTTTTTTATCTCAACTGAAAACCTTAATTAATTATGATTAATGAGATTGATAAAAGTTTTTCATGTGACTTCCGTTTTCAGTGTTTTGCCACATTTCATCCCATTCCGGTTGAAATTTCTCTCTTCTTGTTCTTAGTACATGCAATATCAGTGCGAGGTTGAAAGTTTCTATTAGGTCTTCTCTTCTCGCTGCTTCTTTTGCCTTCCAATCTTATTCTTCATTTCCCTAAAGAACACGCTTTAATCTTTGAATTAATAATTGAAATTTTCTAACCTTTTCTTTCCAAATGCATTTTGTTAGTATATACAGCTGTATAAACGGGATGTTCCCCAGGGGGTTAATAGAAAGTTTTATTTTAAACATAATTTTGAATATACATATTGCAATTGCTTAATATATAAATTATATTATAGGTATATATAAATTAAATGAACATAATTTAAAGTTTAAACTTGGGCAAACTTTATTCATACCTTCAATAACCACAATTGATGCAAATTATATTCAAAATCTGAATAATACTGACAGGCAATGCAATCAAGTTTTACCAATAAACTATATTTTTGCCCAAATCTGTAGGAAAATGCTTGAGACAAAAATCATGGGAAAAAGGGTGGCATTGTGTTGGGTGAAAGGGCATGCAGGCTTATGGCAAAATGAAATGGTGGACGCACTTGCAAAGGAGGCTGCAACATCAGGTCCAACCCTTGACATTAAAATTCCTAAAGATGACGGGAAAAATTTTTGGAAAAGTTTTTAGAAATCTGTGGCAAGAAAAATACAATGCATCAAATGTTGGCAATTATTACAGGTCACTGTTCCCTGAGCTCAAGAAAAAACCATGGTTTTCAGAAGGCGATAGATAGCCCAGAAGGAATGTCAAAGGAGTTCTATTCTACTATTTTTAGACTGAAGACAAATCATGGCCTATGGGGTACCTACAAGAAGAAAATCGGTTTGGCATCGTCTCCGAACTTACCCACTTGCAATTGCCCTTCAAATCCTTCCCATATAATTTTTGAATGTCCAGAATATGAAAATGAAAGAGACAAACTGCTAAAAAATCTGAGTGAAGTCCCAAACATTTCAAAACCAATAAACTTAGAATCTGTCCTAATAAGCAACAATCCATCAGCTTTCAACATAATCTATGGATTTGTAAAGTCGATAAACATTTCTTTTTGATTATCTTCAAGCATGAAAATTTAGAAGATGAGAAGATGATGGAGCTGAATGAGTAGTGCGGGTGCTCGGCGGGGACCTGGCCCTGGTCGGCCGATCACGCTCGACAGTAAAATGAAAATAGAAAACTTCATGGATAATATGCCAGCGTAAACCCCCCCTCCAAAAAAAAAAGTTTTACCAATTTTAATCAATTCAATTGCATGCGTAAACAACTATATCACGCTGTTTTCATTTTGATCACAATAGGGCAAAGACTGTCTTAATTCTCCAATTCTTACTCAACTTGCTTCATTTCGTGCTTCGTGATGTGATGATTCAGTAGCACATGAATGTGACATATGAAATATATTTCATTCATTTCATTATGCTGTTTCTTCTTCTGTTTTATTTTGCCTTTCATCTGGAATTTTATTGGCAATATTTCTACGATGACCAATATCTTGTTGTTTTTGTGGCTTTTTAAACAAAATGCAATTCCAACAGCAACTCTACAAAGCAGCGTCAAAAAGACAGAATGTAAGGTAAACATGTATGTATATAAAAATGAATGGTTTGTATGTATGTTAATGAGAAAAAGAAAAAACTACTGAACTGATTTTGATAAATCTTTCACACTTTGTTTTTATTTGTGGTGAGTGGATATGGATAAATAAAATGGGCATCAGGATTTTTACAAAAATCAATTTTCATTTCAATTCAAGTCAACCACTCCTATTATGTGGATTGAATTTTGAGAATCCATAGTTTTCTCAAGACATTGCATGCTTCATGATGGGAGATTTGTTTGTATATATGCCACATGTAATCACCAAAATCATTATGTATCCAGGAGCATTGTAATGAATTTAACGCTGAATACAACTGTAATTAAAATTTAATACAACGTAATCCAAAACAAAAATAATATTGCACATGTAAAATCTAATATGATGACTAAATACAATCACTGATATCCAACATTCAATTGTGTTCATTTAATTACATAGTTATGTTCTTATCTAACAATAGCAATATTTGACTGAAAATAATGAGTTAAATAACAATTTTTATTATGCCCCTGGGCAATGCCAGGTTATAAAGCTAGTGAAATTATTCCCATTTTTACATAAAAAAAATGTCACACACATTTTTTAATAATACACACAATTTTAAGGACTTTTGGTTTTTACTTTTTTTTTTACTTATTAATTATATTTCAATATAATTTGGCAATTACAGTTAAATGTATTGTACAAGAACGTAATACTACATTTTCATTGTTTTGATTTGAAAGACATTTACAAATAAACAATTTATTTATTTTAGTGTCGTGTATTTAAAAGCAAGAAATTGTTATCTAACCATTTTTAACTACTATTATTTCAACACTAATATTTTTTATTATAACTCATAATTATTGCCAGAAAAAAGTACAGCCCTACCATAACGAGTCCCAATATTTCACTATACAGTTTTAGAACATTTTTAATGTAAATCAAAAATAGTGCAGGCCCTAAAACACTTCCCACCCAATTGGGAACACTTCCCAAGTGAAACACCACCCAATTAATATAGGTGGACTAGCTAAAAGTTTGGCTTATTTTAGTTTTTGGTTTCGGGATTTAAAAAAAACAACTAACGGAAGTCGGATTTACTCCAAATTAAAAAATATATATTTTTACTATTTTCAAATTAATAGAATCTAATTGTTAAAAAATGCTCAACCAAAATTTTAGGTAAAATTACTCATGAAAATAGATTGAGACTACCAGGGCGCCGGTTACAGCCATGATTCCGTTACGTAACCTATCCGCTGGTTATCTTGCCCGCCTTTTTCATCCGTTATTTTTCCAGGCCCGTCGATATCTTTTGAGTAAGTTATTTAATTATTTACATTTTTTGTGTACATAACTTGTTGTCAGAAATGATTTCTCGGTTTAACTTAATCAGTCATGATAAATGATAGATAAAATTAAATCTAGGCCAATCCGTTCTCGTTGTGTCACATCCAAACGTTACTTGGCCAGCAGTTTCCTTAACTAAATCAGTCTAATCTATTTAGAAATGCTAAGTAAAATCTTATTTATTTACCAGCATAAATTGGTATGAGAGGTATTTTAATAAAATTTAATCATATGACATTATGATGTAACATACATGCATATTATAGCATTTTTTCAGTCAAATTAACCCTCTTTTCCCTACCAAATTAACCATTTTTCAATGAGTAAACCATCATAACTTTGAGGATTGGGTGTTAAAAACATGAAAATCTAAGTAACTGAAAGAGAATAGTGTATTGAACATTATTACGAAAAATAAGTTTTCAATAGATGTAAGTTCAAACACAAAAACAAAAACACAGGGTGTTACACAGTTAAATATATTTTCCAAAAATGATTTATTAAACACGAAAGAATATGAAAAAATGTTACTTCAATTGTGTTCAAATTTGGGGGGGTTATTGTGAAAAAAGGGCCAGAGGCGACGGTGGGAATCGAACCCACGACCGCGGCGTGAGAGTCTCTCATGCTAACCACTCAGCTACCGCGGTCCCCAGCATCAAAGGTTGAAATGGATCTTTCCCACATAAGACTTCAACGCAACATCTTGCCAAGTGACAATGTGTCAAAATTTAAAGTCAAACTGAAGATCTACATAAACATTTTCGCAAGTGACATAATCATAATCTTAAGGATTTTGAGACAGTATTTGAAAGCAAACACATATGAGAAATGGCGTTTCTCAATCAATGGTCATTTTTGGGAGGCTGCTGACTGCTTTTAAGAGTTTTAGGCCTCTTTCAGATGGGTCTAGTTGAACGGATGGGTATCAAGAAGTGTAGCCCAGGTAGCAAATGATGGGAACCTCCCAAATCAATCATTTGCATACGCAATCAACTCATCCACCCAGGCGGGTGGCCAGCAGGCTACAAGTGCTGCTCATGTTCTCATCCTCACTTGTCGACTCAGAGACATTGCTTGGCATTCGTGCTTCACACCAGTTGCCTATTGAATCAACTGAGTTCACTATAGAAAGCATTGCATTTTCAATGTGGAGCAGTTCATTGAAGAAATTCGTATTAGTCCTGCGATATGGGATATGAGTTGTGAGGAGTATAGCGACAAAATTAAAAGAAGCAAAGCTTGAAGAGAATTACGATAACAGTATTTGTGAGAAAGCGCCTGTTTCCCAATTTTATAACAACGGATAAACCCACACTTTTCTTTACTGGGTTTCCTCCTTTTTTGCTTCTCTTTTTGCAGAAGAGCAAGCACAAGAAGTGCTCCTGCCTTTTCGGGTTCTCACATCGTACTGATCTCCCGCTGGGAAGAGAGGTTGATTCCACAAGTTGCCTGGTGTGAAACCAGCAAAGAAAATCTTCACGTGGCAGTAAACTGTTGAGAGTCAACCCGGCCTGTAAGAGGCCTTAGAGTTAAAATACAGTCAAAATAGTTTTTTGTGTCCTTTATTGGGATTTTATAAGACCACTTTATAAGATTTTAAGGGAATAAACTAATGGAAAGACACCAAGAAATTAGAATTTGTCTATTCAGGAAAGGTGGCTGTTTTTTAGAGTTGTATGTAAAAGGAAGTTTCATTGTATCAATAATGAAGTTAATAAAGATGTAATTTACTGTTACTTAGTTTATTCTGATTGTCTGCAGTATCATTGACATGGTCAACAGTTTGTATGCTACGAATTATCATTGTTATATGAGAAGTTTTATTATAATCATGAGTGTATCCTTAACATGTTATATGATTTGAGACCAGAATCCTAGTTTTGTAAATGTCTTTAGTTCAAAAGTAAATTTATTTTTCAGGATGGACATAGAAGTTATGGCAGATGAATACGGATCCAAAAAAACGACTGCTTTTTTACAAGAGGTCGTCAATTTTACCAATGCCATTAACATTGATACACTGTTAGAGAAAGCCTACTCTCCTTACATCCACAGCACGCGAAAGATTGACAAGATCAAATCTACAATAATCAAGGCGTTTAAAACTGAGTTTCACAATGAAATAGACAGCTTGTTCAAGCAGGCGGAACTGCCGAAAATGCTGACTCGACTTAAAAAACTCGAAGATGAACACAGTGAACGAAAAGAAACGTGGAGACCGCCCGGAAATGTCGACGACCACTGCCGATCTTTAAGAGTACAAGCCAATCTCAAACTCAAAAACGAATTGGATTCTCTCATCAAAGTTAAGATGTTGAACATAGATAAACTTAAAGTTAAAATAAGAGCCGGTCATGAAAAAGACTCGTTTTCCCAGTTTGTCAATGTTTTAGCCGATGAAGTCAATGTCTGCTCGTCACTCGCCAAACAGAACGACACTGTCCTTTGGAAATTTGCAGAAGAATCTTCATTAATCAATGATGGCAAATCGATAAAGTTGATAAAAAATGATAATATTGTACATTTTGCTTAAAATCATTTTTAGAATGACTTGTTTTATAAATATTATAATTCATAATTATTACTTTTTTATTTAAATGTTTATATTAAGAAGATGTGTTTACTTTTATGATTGTTCATATTTTCATTGTTCTCTCAGACTTTGAAATATATAAAGAAATATATATATTTATTGTTTCAATTATAGAAAAACAAATTATTTATAGAATGCAATGTGGTAAAAATTTTAAGTCAGTATAATATTTAAGAATTAAAAAGTTCTTTGAATCTTTGAAAATTTGACCATCTTTAATTTTCCCCTGAGTCAAAGATACGCTCTTGTGGACTTAGTCATTTATTATTTCCTTTTGAGATTTTAACTAAACTTTAAAATAACTTAAATGAATGGGTTATTTTAAAGTAAACAAAATTTTTCAATTGTGTTTTTATTTATCTGCAACATATCTTTAATAATCACAAATCGAGTTTAAATAGCTCAGTTTTATGTAACAGTGGGATGATAAACACTAGGAAAAAGAATAACTTATTAACTAATATCTCTAAAAGTGATAAAAGCGCGTGGAAGCAGTTCTCGTATAGAGGTGACGACAATTTTGCTGTCCAACTTCGAACTGGTCAAGTATATTGCGATGTCCTTATTTTTGCTGAATTCGACAATGAACTGCCTACACATTCCGCAGGGTGAGACAGGACCTTCATTAGAATCAGCACAGACAACAATTTTTTTAATATTACAGTCGCCTGAGCTGATGGCATTGCAGACTGCAACCCTTTCGGCGCAAATGCTCGCACCGTAGGAAATGTTCTCAACATTGCACCCTGGATAAACGGCACCTGAAACAACAAATAAAACTCCCTTTTTCTTTCAACCCGATGAGTTTGAAATGTTATTTCAGATATGCCATAACTATTCTGACCAGTTCAATCGGCACCCTAATATTTACATCTGAAATTAATTTTTTTCCAATAATATTCACATGCAATTCATGTTCAACAAACCTGAATCTGTCAGCAGGGCTGCACCCACCCTAAAATTGCTGTACGGGCAGTAAGCATTATTTCGAGCTTTTACGCTTTCCTTTATAAGTAGTTGCACATCTGAATCTACAAAAGGGAAAAAAGTCAAGGTTTAAAAATTTAAATGAAATTTCAAGACCTGCATTGAAGTTGACTTTTGTAAGACAATTTTTTTACAATGACGTCCATATGGCCCGAACATTGATTGGTCATCATAGCCTTAGTCAACATATATTGGTTGATTTTTTCTCTAAACCTTGCAGAATACACCAACATCATTGGTTGAATCCCTCTTCGTTATATTTAATCTTTCTCTAAGTAAAGGCACTTTTCCTTCGCAATGGACATCTGCTTTCATTACCCGTGTCTTTAAACCTGGTGACAAATCTTGCATTTCCAATTATAGACCTTTTCTCTGCAGTCCCATTTTTCAAAAATTTGTTTGCCATAATTTATGTTATTTTAATTCTGAGATTATTCCAGAATAGCATATCTTCATTTCTAGTTGTTCTATTACCAGTAACCTACTTTGCTATCAAAATTACATCCTATTTTCCTTATCTTAATGGCTTTCAAGTTGACTCGGTCTACACAGACTTCTCAAAAGCATTTGACACTGTTAAGTCTTAAGTTTTTGTTGCTAAATTAAAACGTCATGGAGTACATGGCAGATTGTATCACAATCCTACATAACCGGTAGAACACAGGTTGTAAAAATTGAAATAGTTTAAATCAAACGCAATTTCAGTTACATCTGGAGTCCCACAGGGATACATTTAGGCCCTTTATTATTTTCAATATTTATAAACGATCTCAAGTCCTTTCTTTCTGCTACGCCATTTCTATTATTATGCTGGTGATCTTAAACTTTTTCTCTCTATAAAATCAACTCAAGAATCTTCTTTTGTAGCAATCTATTGGTACACATAGTTGATGGTGTGTAACTATTTAAAATTTAAATGTAGCTAAATACTGAGTAATTGTCTTTAATCGTTCTTAATATTTTATATAATTATTCTCTCAATAATACCAGCTGTGTCAAATACTTGACTATCTTGTTTGATAGCAATTTGAAATTGAAAGAGCATACTATCAGTGTTAATAAAAAAACTTTACATATTCTGGATTTTGTTCTGAGAAACACTTGTAACTTTTATAATCCCGATTCGTCATTCGCATTGTACAAAACTCGTATTCGTATTTGAATTTTCTACTGTTGTACGGAATCCACACTTTTCTTCTCATTCTTAATTTTTAGATAAAGTTCAAAATAAATTTATTAGAATACTCCATTTTCGATTTCCTCTCCTTTCATCCTCAGTACTGTCTTTTTCTCTTTATAATCTTCCAGCATTAGCTGACAGGTCTTTTTTTTTATTTTTTATTTAAATCTATTATTTTTTTACAATACAATCATGGGTGACTAAATTGTGCCCATCATCATATTTTATGGATCACTTTCAATGTCCCAATACATGCTGCCATGCATTTATCTATGTTTAGTATACCTTATGCATTGTTTTGAAATAAATACAGTTATATTATATAAAATATAATTCTTCTATTATGTAAAATATTATATAATTACATAAAATATAGAAATTGTTTATAACCACATTTATATTCTTTGTAAAAGGATCTTTGATCTGTAAATATATATAAAAAAATAAATATAAAAACTAATCAGGGAGATGAATAATGAATGTTGTTGTTTTTTTACTTCATTTATTTGTATCTACAACTGTACATGTATTATATACAACCAGCAGATTGGATTTCAAATTATGTGTTTGGCATTATGGGCATTATAGAGAAAGCTACCCATTGGTAGCCGCTCTGGATTAATGAAATGATATTAATCATTTAAGAAGTCTCTTATCCATATTTTTTTCAGACGTTTACGTGGTAATTGTGGGGAATGGAGTAATCGTATTTGTGTGTTGGTGTGATTTTGTAATTTACAATGAAAACATCTGTAATATGTTTTGATGGATGAAAAACTTGAGATTTGAAGATCTCTGTGAAATGTATTATTGTTTACGTAAAATGGGGCAGAAACAATGTCTTAAAATTTTGGATTGAAAACTTTGTAATCTTTGAATATTGGAATACTTGGCTGATCCATATACTTGGCACCCATACATCCAAATGGGTTTGAGTAGGTATGTGTATGAAAGTTTTGATTTTAATGGTAATTTTGATTGTCGGTTAAGTAGGTAATAAAGCATTTGAAATCGTTTGTTCGGTGTCTGTTTTTTTAATCGTGTATGTGGGTTCCAAGTTAGTCTTCTATCAAATGTAAGTCCTAAATCGTTAACTTGGTTAGATTGAGGAACAGGTTCATTGTATAAGTATATGCTAGGAGTGTAAAGGGATATGTTGTGACTGAGGGATTAAACTTTATTTTCCAAAGATTGCTCCATTTTTCAGGTTTTGTAACATGAGTGAAGCTTGCGTAGAAGAGAGATGGTTTGTTAATATGGTGGTGTCATCTGCGCATCTGGTGGTAAGTGTATTCTCATTTGTGGGCATATCAGAAGTAAAAATTGTGTACAACAGCAGAGCGAGTATTGACCCTTGTGGCACACCTGCATTTTTTCCATCCCAGAAGTCTCCGTACCCTGGTTTACTGCGAAAAATCTCTATGGTATGATTGTATAATCAAATAATAGGCCTGGGGTAAAAATAATTTTAATTTGTATAATAATCCCTCATGCCATACTTTGTCGAAGGCCTGAGAAACATCTAGAAACACTCCAGTCGCGTACAGTTTCTGCTCTAGACACGAAGTAATGAAATCTGTCACTCTGTGAGGTTGATGAGTGATGGAATGATGGGTTCGAAAGCCAAATTGATGGTCTGGTAAGATGTTCAAAGTAGCAATAGAGATAATTCTTTTGTAAATTAATTTTTCGAATAATTTAGAAGGAACGGGTAACAAACTAATAGGATGATAAGATGATGGGGAGCTTAAATTTTTATGGGGCTTTGGGATCATTTTAATGTAAGAAAGTTTCCGTTGTATGGGGAAGTGTGGTCCTCAAAATTGCATTAAATAAAGAAGTCAGAAAGACGATTGCTTTTTTGGGAAGTTCTTGAAGAACTTCAGCTGTTATCAAATCATGACCAGGTGATTTTTTTTTGTAGGAAGCTGTCGTATTTCTTATGATACTTGTTTTGGAGTTATTGGTTTAGGTGGTAGATCTAGGGGCATAGATGTCACAAGTGAATCTGATATAAATTTATCTTGTTCAGTATTCATTATGTTATGTTTGAATACCTCGGAGAGATGTTTCCCAAATGTTTTGGACTTTTCTTTATCATAAACGATCCAAGTTCCATCATCATTCCTGAGAGGAGTTGAGGCAACGCTATGACACAGGATACGTTTAGTACTACACCAGAGGCTCCCATCCTCTCTTGACAAGATTTTTAAATGTGTTTCGTATGATTGTTGTTTAAATTGTTTTCTTTTTTCAACGTATTCAAAAGTTTGTTGTAATTTTGTTTGTCAATGACTGATCTAGTACGTTGCCAAAGGTTTCTAGCCCTTCTTTTTTAGGATATTAATTGCCTTATGTAGAAAGGATAATTTGGAAGATTTTGTTTTTGAGTGTGAGGAAGATTCCCACGCTGCATTTTGTATTGTTTTTGTAAATAGATCAACCGCGTTTTCTAGTTCTTCTGGTGTTTTAAGCTAATTGGGACGGAAAGTTTTTGAGCTTTTTCAAATTCTAAAATGTATTAGCATGATGATGTGTCGAGAACCACTTACCGAGTTTGTTAAAGTTGACATATTTTCCGGTAAAATCATCATCGCTGGCCATGCCTGTTATCAACAGGGCTTTGGACTATTAAAAGCTCCGTTGCCACTTGGCACTTGCCACCTAACTTCTCTACAACTTTCACACAGGTTTGTATTTCCGTTTGGGCAATAGCAACATTATCAGTAATCAATATTCGACGGATTTCGGGGAACGTCGTCGGTTCTCGGTTACCATTGTTTTTACTTTTCCTAAAAGGATAAAACTCCATCAACTAAAATGTCAAAAGTAGCTGTTATATTTCCGTTTGACTTCTTTGTTCGGCTGCTCCTTAGAGAAAAAACAATCAAATGTAAAACTTCGTAACGATGGACACCAGAGAAAATGAGATTCCTCATAAAACTTCCTTGCCTAATAAAGTACTTTATGCCATTACAAAAACAATAAGAACTTTGCTTGCTTTTGATCAAAGCTCTTCTTCAACCTATTTCGAGGGACCGATCAGTTCAAATTGCAGAAACAACAAAGCATAAAGCTCATGAAGGCTGGTAGTTACAATGTTCAATTAGATGAAGGTCAGACAACTGAAAGCATCAACTAAGAGATTATTTTTAGTTTGACTCGTTACAGATCATTTGGTTTGCCTATCCTAGCTGTTGTGCCAGGTGTATTTTAAGTTTTTCATCGTGTTCAGTATTGAATGTATCAAGAGAACTGAAATACACCTGATAAAGGATGGGGATTCATTCTTCGCATTAGTGCTCCTCATGGGCGACTGGAATCCCCAGGACCTCACAGGCTCACCCTTACGGGTGCCCATTACTATCCAAGGGCATACCATCGCCCACTCTAGAGCTATAGAGTCTCTCCCACACAAGTTTCGGGGCAAATTTGAGGGATGAGTTAATTCATCTTACCCCCTCGTTGGTGCCCTTTGGTGAGCGACCAGAACCCTAGGATTTTGCAAACTTGCCCTCGGGTGCATGCTACTTTCCCAGGGCTAACCGTCCCCACACTAGAGCCAAGAGTCATTCCTCAGTCACCAACCGTGCCGTATCGGAGTTTTTCGGGGGAGTGCGGTTTCCAAACCTTCCCTTGTTAATGCCCCTCGGCGAGCAACCAGGACCCCCAGGATTTCACAGTCACTTCCTTACTTACTTTCCTTACTTTCCAAGGGCCGCCAATCGCCCGCACCAGAGCTCCCCTCAGGCTGATAGTCCGCATATGGAATTTTTCCAAGGGGTTGCGGTTGAGCCTCAGTGAGCAACTGGAACCCCAGGTTTCGCAGGCTCCCATCATGGGTGCCCACTACTCCCCAGAGGCCGAATCGCCCACATCAGAGCTGTCACTCCTCTGCAGCTAGGCCGCAACTGATTTGTTTTGTGGCCACCTGAGGTTCATTACCCTGCACTTGAGGAGAAAATCGCAATTTACTTCAAGTTCAGTCATTGTATGTAATTTTACAGTCCAAAATAGACAGACCAAAATGATAAGAAATGACCAAGTTCGTTACCCTGCAGACCCCAGGAGGAAATATCAATTTATTTGTACCTCTGTCCTCTTATAAACTGCGCAAAATTGAATAGGGATATTTGTAATTTATTCTTATTATATTAATTTTAATTAAATTAACCGATATATTCTTGTTAGTTGGATAAAGCAAAATAGAAAATACAAACCAACAAATTTGTTAATCATCATTTTTAGTAACGGATTTACTTAAGAATTAGTAAACATGAAAATTACTCATTTTGTAAACCAACACCTTTTCTCGTCGTTTCTCCATTTTAATCCAGTTGTATTCTTTTTAACCATGGAAAGACATCTTGAACCAGAAGTTCTCAATATTATTGTGAGAATGAGTCATCAAGGTCACCGGCAAGTGGATATTGCAGAAGCAGTTGGCGTTTCTCAGACCATGGTTTCCTGGTCTTTAGATCAATTCTGGGAGGCTGTTGTGGATCTCAGAGCATTACAACGCTAAGGGAGTACAGAAATATTGTCATTGCTGCAATACAACGGAGCCCTTTCTATAGTGCCGCCAGATGCTAAATTAAGCTCAAGTTTTTTCGGCAAGGCCTTTATCAACACAAACGATTACAAATAGTTGGCTTCACATTGTAAGCCCCTTTGAGATGAGGTGAAGAGCAGCCCACCACTGGAAACTCAAGAGAGTATGGTGCAGCGGGTGCTTAGAAGAAAACACCAATTGGAATGCTGTTATGTTTAATGATGAGTCGTGTTTCTCTCTGTATAGAGATAGCTGGAACTCACAGAGTCAGTCACAGTCCTTGGCAGTGTTGGGACTGAATCAGTCGTAAAGGAAATTTGAGATCGCCTGTATAAAAAAAAACCACTTAAATATGTCAATATTTAGACATATTTAAGGTTGTTTTGCCCTGACGATGACCTTAAAATAGATCAAAAGCTTGGCATTAGCAACTAAATTTGCTTTCTTCTTCTTCAAGACCATACCTTGATTAAGAGTGTTTATAAGTGGTCGATACTTCTAATACTGAAAATAAAACTTTAACCTAAAAAAGCATACTGGATATCAGTAAGGCAGTTTGAATTAATATTTAATAAGTAAAAGAAGTATCTCTTCACTAAACAGCTCCCTGTGGCCACTTCATAAGTCGCTGAGAATCCAATCCGATTACTCGACATTTGAAAATGGCAAAAAAGTGAGAAAATTTGAAAGGTTGTAGGTTGAGATGGAGAGTTGGTGTCTGAGAAGATCGAATTCACGATAGCTCAATTGGTAGAGTAGCAGCGTATTTGGCCAAAGGTCGTGGGTCCTCCCACTCGTGACACTGACTTTTTTTATCTCAACCAAGACGTTACGTCGAAAGAATAATTAATTGAAAGATGTAATTTGGTCAATTGACCACTAAAACGTATATGACTTAATAATAAGTTTTTTATATATAAAATGATGGTAAGACCTTATAATTATTATTTATTCCTGTGCTGTCTGACAGTCAACGTGCGAAAGTAACTATAGGAAACTACAAGTTGTTCAGAATAAATTACTCAGACTGTGCACTAACTCTCATCGTTTCACAAGGAATGGGCTTTTGCATCAGATGTGCAGGTTGGACATAATGAAAAGTTTTATTGAAAAATGCGCCATAAACATAAAGAAGGCTTGTACAAATAGCCCTAGTAGTTTGATTGTTGGTATTGGACCCTTGTTCCTATAAAAAGAAAACAAATCCCTATGGTAGATGTAATGGTGCTCTTTTTAGATAATCTAGTACCAGTCAATTGAGACCAAGTGTATACTGGTCTTTCTAACCAGTTTTTTTCCAGATGTTTTAACCCCTCATTAAATAGGTTGTCATGAACTTATTTATTATTATTTATTTACCCATTCATGTGAGAAGAGTTTATTTTTTCAAATTGTGATCACAAAAATTTAAAACAAATGCTATAATATGCAATTTTTTTTTTTTTTCTGAACGGCTAACTGCTTAGGTCATTGCTGGCACCACACATATGTTTCTCACATTTTGAAAAATTTGCACTTTGTACTGATAACTTCATTCTAATTGGCTACTCATCGGACCTTACGGTTTTTGTTGCATTTTTCTTTGTATCCCTCCACATGTGGTAAATTGAAGTATTTGACCATTTACATACACACACATTCATAATACACATTTATACTAATAAACCTATTTTCCTAATATTACAACTAAAGTGGAGGTCAGTAAGATGGTTTTAATCCTGCCAACTTCCTTTCATTCTCGCGAATAAATACATTCAAACGGTATGTACAAATTCCACTCATCCATAAAACTAATCCTAAGGTTTTTTGATGGGCCTGTGGAGTACTCAATATTCCTCGACAGCCACGTCCATTCACACATAACCTCTCACGCTAATAAATACGAACATACTAGAAAGGACGCAGCATCTCGGTGGTATTACTACAACCAAGACGCTGTTGACCCTTCCCACAATCATACTACAAATGTATTATCACTAACCTAAATCGGTGGGCCTGTGAGTTACTCGATATTCAGTAACAGCAGCACCCATGCATGCTAAACCACTCACGCTAATAAATACTTTCATACAGTACAATGGGGGGGGGTGAACCACATGTGGGAGTTATATGGGGCTGTAAGCGTTTATTGATTTTAAATATGTCATAAGTTGATCTTTATGGTCGCCTTAGAATTTTTGAGATATTGGAAGGTAGGTCGCACCGCTCTCTGTGTCGTGCCAGCTGTTCGCATTCTTCTAGGATGTGCTTCACTGTCACAACTGCACCGCATAGAGGACATACCCTGGGTCTCTTTCTAATTAAGAGGTGGCCATGCGTCAGCCTCGTGTGGCCTATCCTCAATCGTGTGAGGATAATCCTGTCTCTCTTTTCCATTTTTTCCGGGACCCAGGGTTTTGTTTTCGGTTTCACTTCTTTCAACTTTTCGGTCATATTGTCCCAGCGGATTTGTCATTCATTCCAACCTTATCATTTTCATTGCGTCTTTGATGTCTGCTGGGCTGATCGGAAAATCATGGTCATGCGGCATTTTAGTGTCTTCTTTTGCCGCTCTGAAGGCCTTTTCGTTTCCTTTTAGGCCGAAAGGACCAGGGATCCAAAGGAAAGCATTCCGCCTCGTATAATTCCTTTATCAGCTGGTAGATGTTTTTTACTAAAAAGTCCATGGAGAGTCCATTTGTTCCATATAGCTGAGATTGCACTGATATTGTTCGCTGCAAATATTGTTGTGTAGTTATCTAAGTGAAAATAAATATATGTTTTTTTTTCTTTTTTTAAACAGGACCTTTACCTTACAGTGATGAGCACTCTGTCAATGCCTCCACCGATGCCCCACACAACTGTTTTATTAATTATCGCTCAAACTAGTGTTTTAATTTTTAGTGGTGATTTTTGATTATTGATTATGTCAATAATGAAAAGAAATATGATTTAAAAGTTGTTTTTTCATCCTTATCAGGCAATATAATGAATAAATATTTGTTTAATGTACAAGTTCAGAGCATTTTGTTTTCCCATTTCAGCATTCGCTACTCATTGAAAACTAGGACTGATTTTAAAGGAACAAAACTAAACAAGGGGGATTCTGAGGAAAGGGAAATCAGTTAAGCCATCATGCGATTAAAAAACAAATCTGTGGATCAAACAGGCTGATTGGTAAAATGTCAGATTATAAAGATTTCTGGCTGTTAAATAGTCTCTTTTAAATTTCCTCCCAGAATTTTATCCCACTAAAACTATAACGAGCATAAAATCTAAATAGTACACTTATCTTATCACAGCAGTTATTTATTTTATGTAACTCACGTTTTACTTTTCCTTTGTTCAAAATTGTTTTGTGCACAGTTGGGAAAGATTCTTAAAATGCCCGAAAACCGGGATGATGGATCCCATTTGGCTATAAGTGTCGGTTAGCAATTTACAACCATGCATTGCATTAATTGTTTTACAAAGCATTTTCATTTTAATTCCAGGTTTGAAATTGAGTTGTATTTCATTTTGCCAGACAGATAATTCAGAATCAAAGGGACAAAACACTGTAAGTACATGATAGTCATCAGTTATAATATTGCAAGACAGTAACTCATAATTTTTTTTCTCTCTTTTAAAGCATTGTCAAATAAATATTTATATTCACACATATTTCACAAACTTTATATTTGACATCATTAATCATATTTGTTTTAGTCAAATATATCTATTGCAAATTTCATTTAACCAGATCGTTTAAATTCACCTCTAATAAGAAAACAAACAACATGAAATTATGTTGATACCATTTACATTGATTTTTTTGATTCATAATAAATAAATATGCGTTTTTAAAACATTTAAAAGTTTTTCTTTATATTTGATGGTTGGTGTTCAAGGAAGGATGCCAAATCATTTAAAAATAAATAGGATTCATTTGGTACGAACAGTATTTTTTGTTATCTTCAAAGCTTGTTCCAAAAAAGTAATAATATAAAAAATAATAGTGTAAATTTTTTTTTTTATTTATACCACATTAGAATAATTTTTTTTTTGCTGGATCAACAAAGCTCTTGCGTAGTGACCCTCTGAGAGTCTCATAGAAGAAGGGTCTCACCCGATTGAGAATAGGCCAGCGAGGTTCCCAAGTAGACAAATGATGAACCAAAGCTTGCATGTTTGTGGCATGCAGAGAAAGGTTGATTGATACGACTTACCTAATTGAAGGGTGCAATTCCTTGGCTTCATATAGAGAGCGCGTAGGAATAGTAGGAGATAATGGTGCTTGAGCACAGCAGCGAGTATCTGGTTCTCCATATTCCAATTTTTAGAGGAAACACTACTGCTTATAGTACTTTATAAATATCTAGATTTGTATTTCTTAAATATATATTGAGAATGAATGTATTTATTAGTGTGAATGTGTATTATAAGAGGAATATTGAGTACTCTATTGACCCCCGGCTAGATTTGTTATACTATATGCATAGAGGTTTTGAAGGAAGTAGGGTTGTTTTAATGTATTTAGTACAGATATTTTGGGTCACCTGTTGAGAACGAATGTATTTATTAATGTGAATGTGTAGTATAAGAGGAATATGGAGAACCATATCGACCCTTGACTAGATTTGTTATACAATTTATGCCTAGAGGTTTTGAGGAAATAGGGTTGTTAGATGATATACAGTACAAATACTTTGGGTCACCCGTTTGGAATGAATGTATTTATTAGTGTGAATGAGTAGTGGAAGAGGAATATGGAGTACTATATGGACCCTCAACTATTTTTTTTTTTTTACACTATATGGGTAGAGGTTTTGGAGGAAACAGGGTTGTTTTAAGAAGAAGAAGAAGAAAAATAACTTTATTCTGGGACTGGTGTCCCCCATAAATACCCCCATATACATATACATGAACTAAATAAAGGGAAGTTCCTTCTATGAAGTTAAAAGTAAAAAAAAAAAAAAGATAGAAATCTTGGCACAATGTATACCAATAAGGCAGGATAGAAGAGAAAATTACGAGAATATTAAACAAAAATAACAAGTGTTAATGTGAGGTCTCTGCTTGGAGGGAGAGGAGGTGATTATACAGGTGGGATTTAAAGGAGGAAAAGGAGGCAGCTTGACGAATAGAAAGGGGAAGGGAGTTCCAGAGTTTAGGGGCTCGGATCAGAAAGGATCTTTCGAATGTATGGGTTGTATGTTGCGGAAGGATAAGATCGATTGGGGATGAGAGGGTCTTAAGAGTGAGATGTGAGGAGTTAAATTGGAGGGATTGGATGATGTAAGGAGGAAGACGAGTGTGGATGGACTGGAAAAGAAAGCAACCTAGGAAATACTGTGCACGGAAGGAGGGGAATAGCCAGGAAAGTTGAGAACACAACCCCGACACCCGGGATGCTTCCTTTTTTTTATATGATTCTCAAGCTGTCTGCTCGGAATTTGAATAGTAAAAGAATACTTCTTGTAACAAGTTGAAAAACGATCGTGTTTTCGTGATGTTAGGCCAAGTATAATTTATTAGTATGGATGAGTTGTGGAAGAGGAATATGGAGTACCATATCGACCCTCAACTATTTTTGTTTACTATATGTATAGAGGTTTTGGAGGAAAAAGAGTTGTTTTATTGTTTATAGTACATATAATTTGGGTATCCTGTGGGGAATGAATGTATTTATTAGTGTGAATGTGTAGTATAAGAGGAATATGGTGCACCCTATCGACCCTCGACTAGATTTGTTATACAATTTATGCCTAGAGGTTTTGAGGAAATAGGGTTGTTAGATGGTATACAGTACAGATACTTTGGGTCACCTGTTTGGAATGAAATTAGTGTGAATGAGTAGTGGAATATGGAATACTATAGACCCTCAACTATTTTTTTTACACTATATGTAGAGGTTTTGGAGGAAACAGGGTTGTTTTATTGTTTATAGTACAGATACTTTGGGTCACCTGTTGGGAATGAATGTATTTATTAGTGTAAATGAGTAGTGTAACAAGAATATGGAATACCATATTGACCCACAACTAGATTTGTTATACAATATGCAGAGGTTTTTGAGGAAACAGGGTTGCTTTATTATATAGTACATATATTTTGGGTCTCCTGCTAGGAATGAATGTATTTATTAGCATGAATGTGTAGTGTGTAAAGGTAGATCGCTGAGTGTGGTATATAAATATGAAAGTATGTATTTAAGAGTGAGAGTGTGAATGGGTTTGGTTTTAGGAACTGATTGCGTTAGGGGGGATGAAATGACCTATCTATTGGAATTCCTTGGAGCCTACTTTGGTGGCTGGATGTATAAGATTGTGGTCGGTTCTCCGATTGCTAATACCCGAGGTGGGTGATTATCGAGGCCTGCCAGTAATCAATAAATTACAAAAGTAATCAGAAAATTACAAAAGCTGGACTGACAACTCTGTACAGTATATACATGTGCAGATTTGAGCTAATCAAAATCGGCAATCAGAAAATGAAACTTTTTTTTTCTTTTTCTTTTTTAAAATATATTTCGTGTGTCATTTCTGTAAAGTTCATACCATATATTTTTTGATATTTTTTATTTCTTTGAATAACTATTTAGTTAATAATAATTCAAAAACCTACACCAAAATGGTTGAAAAGAAAAAGACAATGGAGAACATAACTACAAATAACAATATAAATATTTTTGGTGGACGCGTTTCTATTCTGTATAAATGACAGAAAAATCGCCAGTTCTAGTTTTTTCTGTATTATGAACAAAGCCTGCTATAAATAATAGCCCTTTGTTATAGTAGCATTTGCAAACATGCTTTTTTTATATGGCTCTCAAGCTGTCTGCTAAGAATTTGAATAGTACAAGAATACTTGTAAAAAGTTGAAAAACAATTGTGTTTTCGTGATGTTGGGCCAAGTATAAACTTTGATGATAAAGAAACAATTTCCTGGTCACAACCTATCTCCAAACTTTAAAACTAATTAATTAAAATGAATGAATTTATGGTATAATGCAGTGAATACATGATAATTGATCATAGAAAAAGCAGATTATTAAATTCACTAGTTTTGTGGTCCGCTTGACCAATTAATATCATACAATTAATTAAGGTTTTTAGTTGAGATAAAAAAGTCAATGGCACGAGCGGGATTCGAACCCACGATCTTCGGCTTGATACGCCGCTGCTCTACCACTTGAGCTATCGTGACCTTGATCCACTTGGACACCAACTTCCAATCTCAACCACACCTTTTGAATTTTCCCTCCTTTTTGCCTTCAAAAGGTGTGGTTGAGATGGGAAGTTGGTGTCCGAGTGGATCGAGGTCACGATAGCTCAAGTGGTAGAGCAGCGGCATATCAAACTGAAGAACGTGGGTTCGAATCCTGCTCGTGCCTTGACTTTTTATCTCAACTAAAAACCTTAATTAATTGCAGATTATTAAGTTTATATAAGTGAATAGACTTTTTTTTGAATCCGTTAGAATCCAGTTAAAAAAATCTTTGGTACATTGCCACAGTTGAGAGTAAATTTTAGTTTATTAGTTTACAAAATAAAATTCACTATGTGTTTATTATGAGGTCAAAATTTTAAATTGTTAACATAATGTAGTCTTATTTATTTTATGATTGGCAAACTACATTGGTCATCTTCAGCAGCCCTCTCTTTCTTTGTTTTTCTTTTCTTGTCTTTCGGTGTTTTAATCCTACTAATTTCGTTTCCTGTTTCTCCAGCCAAGTTGTGATAAGAGGATTTAGATCAGTAATAGATTCTCTCTTTTCTTTGTCGATAAAATAATAAATAAAAAACAAACATACACATAAAACATAGATAAGATAAAACATGGTAGTCTGGTCAGCATTTACACTATTTCAGAGTACTTGATATTCCTCAGTATTATTGAAGATAAACCCTTCCATTCAAACTAATAAATTACATTCACTCAATATTCCTCAGGAAACTTGGGATAAGATCCTCCATTCATACTAATAAAAACATTCGTTTCAATAAATAATGCATATCACAACAAAAATTTGCAAAATGTGTCATTTCTAATAAAAATGCCTTAACAATTTTACATGCCGATTCATTTTTGGAAATTATCAATTTGCATTTAAGATTTATACAAGATTATTGTTGCAGGACGCCAAAGATGAAAAAAGGCCAAGGATTGTTTCTAAACTCTGTTCGACCGAGACGCTTGATTCAACATTGCATTCATTGCAGGAAAACCAAGAGATTGTACCCAATACAATTTTTTTAACAGGAACAGATTCAGAAAAATGGTCCAAGAATACTCAAATTACTTTGAAAACAAAGTAAGTGTAAGGCACCAAAGTAAGTTGTACATTGTAACATCATACTATGTTTCAGATTTCATGTTGATCAGGAGATTATGCAGTTTATAGCATTGGGATGTGGCTTTGTACTGAAAAATATTAATGATGAAGCTTTTCAGTTAAATCTAGAAACTCACCCTTTAAACTTTGTCTCAAATGCATACAAATTTTTTCCATGCGTTCTTATAAATAAAAACGAATTCATTGATTTTATCAAGGTTAATTTAACTTGATATTAAAACCATGATATTAAAATATTAAATTAATAATGAAATATAATTTTTTAGATGTCCACAGACAAAGAGTTTCAGTTTTTAGGCAAATCTTGTTTCAATTTACAGCAAATGCTGTTAATAAGCAAAGGATTGACTGGCACAAAGGTACTTTTATTATAAATATTTTTTGCTAAATATTAAAAGGACTGTTTTAGGATCTTGAAAGTTTCATGGTTGTTCTGAAATCATCACCGATATACAGTCAAATTACTAAATGTAGCGAAGATACATTTATGAAAACTATGGCAGAAGTTGAAGGGTTAATTTTTTCTGAAAATGGTAAATTTTTTTTTTTTAACCATTTATTTCACTTATGAATATGAGTTTTTGATTTGACAGAATTATTAGAGAAATCTCATTTAGCGTGGTACTTATTCTGGTTATGGTGCAGCAACATCTGTCAACTTGCATCTTTGCACTGCCAAAACAACAAAACTAAAAATGTGCGTTTATAAATAAATGTTTAAAAATTTTAGATAATCTTGGTAGTTGTTTTATAGGTGATTCTTGGTGAAGGCTGGGATATAAATGCAGATTATTTGTCTATTTTAAATCTCATTTTTAAATACTGTACGGGCGGCAGATTGAAGATGATTTTTCTCAGGCATTCTGCATTTTTATCATCAATTGGAGTATTACTAAGCAAAGTAAAACATGAAGGTATTGCATCGATAATTTTTTTTTCAACATTAATCTTAACATTTTTAGTTGACTGCAGATTTTCAGCTTTCCTGGAGGGAAAATTATTTTTTAAGTTCTGGCTACAACAGAGAATTTCAATCCACGGGTCAACAGACACTTGCTCTTGATTCAGTAGCGGCAAAATTGGTGCCTTGTCCTTTACTTATAGATCCTTCGACTTACAACCCTTTACTACAAAATTTATACATCGATGATGAATCTAGGTAAGTGGATAGACAGATGCGTTAATGCATGTTTTCATGTTGCTGTTTCATTAAAGGGAATACTGGATTCAATGTATAATTCAGAATATCAGATCGAAAGGCAACAACAGACTCTCTGCAGAGTCCTGCTCACCGATGCAAATAGCGTTTTACAAATTCCAAGATATGGCAGTTGAAAAATTACAACATCTTATGCAATACCCATAGTACGTATTTTTCAATATCTTCAATAATTATTCAGAAATCGTGAGATGCGGTCTGGTGTGATGTAGGTTTCAGAAAAACATTTTCTTTATCGTGCCAACGTTTCGATCTTTATTGAGATNCCGAAGATCGTGGGTTCGAATCCCGCTCGTGACACTGACTTTTTTATCTCAACTTAAAACCTTAATTAATTGAAAGATATTAATTGGTCAAGCGGACCACGAAACTAGTGAATTTATTTACTTAGGTTGAAAGGTAAAAGGTTGAAGTTTAATGGAATAGTAAAGCTGTAAGTCATTTATTTATTAAAATTCAGAATATTTTCAGAAAATCATGTTCTGTTTAAAAAAAATTGTGATATTTTATTTTACATTTAAAATTTAAAAGTGAATTAAATACTGAAAATATCAAAAATTTCAGTTCATTTGGAAACCTTTCAATGATGATATTGCAAAATATGTTGGACGATTGCAAGTACGAGCTGGAACTATTTGACACATACTCAAAGGTAAATTGATTAAACCGTTTGCTATGCATTCCGTATAAATAATGTAACTTTCAGGTAAAGAGAGAAGAGGCGAATTTGGCAGTTCAGATTTTTGAAAGGCACATAAAATTTCTGGACCGGCTCAACTTCAGAGACAGGCAGTTGGAAATAGCTTTGTCCATCTTGGCTGGAAACATGTTTGACTACGGCTCTAAGGAAGTGTTCGAGCTGTTGAATTCAGGCCATTTTGGCTTTAAAGAGGCAATAAAAAAACTTCCACGTAAGCTAGCAACAATTTTAACATATTAAACGGGCTGGTAGAATAGAATGGTGATTTTTATTGAAATTTCAAACACAACCACTTTCATAAATCTTTATAATTAATTAAAATTTTAAAAAGTAAATACTTACTTCACTCTATTTTTTGAGACTTGAAAGTCGTAATAAAAATGTAGTTTATTTTGGAATAACAAAAAACTCAATTTTTTAAAAATTCTATTGTATTTTATTAAAAGTTTTTTTTGGTTTTGGATTGTGTTGATTTGATCATATACAGGGTTAAGTGTCACTACTGCCATGGTGTAGTCATTAAATAAAATTTTGTTCAGTACCACCAGAATTTTTTTAAATTTTTTTAAAAAGGGTGTTAAGCTGAGGTTATTTCAACCCTTGGGGTGCCAATGTTTTTGAAAAAAAGCCCATTTGTAAGTATGTCAGGCTCAAATGCAGGGACGCTGGATTCGAACCCAGGACCTTTAACTTACAGTGATGAGTGCCCTGTCAATGCCTAAACCGTTGTGGCCACCGACGCCCCTTTAATTTTTATTACCAACTAATAAATGTTTTTATTAAAAATATAACACGTACGATGTTCTTGGGCTGCAGCTTGCCTTTGGTTCGATATGAACCATGCAAAGGAGATTTCACTAAGAAAAGTTATAAAAAAATGTAAAAGTGAGTATTTCCTTAGAATATTTACTTATAAAATAAGGCAACTTTGGTGAAATCCCCGAAAAGCCACAATTAAGTATTTAAAAAAAAAAAAAATGTATTTGGAAGTATGAATTTTTCAACAAAAATGTTATCATGTGAAAAATTTAATGTAGTTTGCAAAATAAAGATCAGATTTGTATTATAATGATGCTAAAGTTGAGAAATTACAATTTTCTGTTTAAAAAAAATCCGATTTTAGACTAAAATCACAAAAATGTTTATATCTCAGGAAAGACTCAGGATAGGATTGGGATCACTGAACTAAGTTTTAGTGAATCCACTTTGGCAGTATTGACATTTAACCCTGTAAAACCCTGGATACAAAAGAATTGACGGAACACATTTGCTGAGAGAAATTTATCATATTTTAATTAATTCCTCTAGCAAATTTTCCATACCAAAATTTTAGTTTTTTGTGAGGGAGTAAACCCCCTTACAGCTGTCACAAATGTAGAAAAATGTCGAGAAAGGTGTGTCACACTTGGTCGAGAAGTGCCAGGACTTGACCCCTTATAGGGAGAGAGTAGCCATGGAACCTGGTATAAAGATACCCCTTGGGTATGAGAGTAGATTGTTGTGTCCCCTGTTCCGATTTTCAAGGGAAATGGGAATTTTTTTCCTTATTTAATCTGCACATATTATATACATAATATATTTTTGTGTGGTTGTATAGTTTGTGTGAATGAACTTGTACATGTTTTTTTTTTTTCGGCGCCCAGGTCATAACATTTCATTCTCAGGGTGAACTCTAGTTAATAGATTACAATTAATTAAGGTTTTTAGTTGAGATAAAAAAGTCAATGGCACGAGTGGGATTCGAACCCACGACCTTCGGCTTGATACGCCGCTGCTCTACCACTTGAGCTATCATGACCTCGATCCACTCGGACACCAACTTCCCATCTCAACCACACCTTTTGAATTTTCCCTCCTTTTTGCCTTCAAGTTGGTGTCCAAGTGGATCGAGGTCATGATAGCTCAAGTGGTAGAGCAGCGGCGTATCTAGCCGAGGATCGTGGGTTCGAATCCCGCTCGTGCCATTGACTTTTTTATCTCAACTAAAAACCTTAAATAATTGTAATATATTAATTGGTGAATCTAGTTAATAGTTTCAAATTCAGAAAAGTATTCATATATATATCTCTTATATTGTCTGCAATTGTGTGCAATGTGCAATGAAGTGTCACCACATGCCCTCCCGCTACCCAAGAGGCATATTTACGTTGGCCCTATGACATTTTATAAAGGAATAATAATATTGTTTATAGTTTGAAAATTAGTTAGTCGATAAATATTTTTCTAATTTGTACTATCTGTTATTTATTTTATACATGTGTTCTGTATAGAAAATGATTGATTGTTGAAATATTATATATCATACTTAAGGGTTTGTAATTTGTTATGTTTATCATATAATAAATTAATGTAAATTAATTTAGTCCGACCGTGGCTCATTGACAATCTTGATGCTTGGATTGAACAGATAGAGGAAAAACCATACAAGCTTGCCGCTGTTTTTGTCGATAATTTTGGTTTTGACTTAGTACTTGGAGTTTTCCCTTTCATAAGAGAGCTGCTCAAGAATGGAACAAAAGTAAGTTAGATTAGTGTCAATATATCAACAGATCAATTGATTTAACAATATTTCAGGTACTGTTATGTGCAAATAAATATCCTGTAATTAACGATGTAACCTCAGAGGAACTTGATTCAGCTTTAAAATCTGTTTCTACTGCTTGTTCATATATAGAAGAGGCTTATTCAAATAAAGACATTAAAATTGTGGAAGTGCCCAATAGCAGCTGCTGTCTTGATTTTCGGTAATTTATAACCATATTCAAATCGTTGCATTTGTTATGTGTAAAATAAAATTTAAAAAAAATTGCAGGTATGTGAGTGAAGAGTTTGCGGAATTTTGTTCTGATGTTGATTTATTGGTCATCGAAGGTATGGGCAGAGCGATCCACACAAATTTAGATGCTGAATTCAATGTCGATTGCCTCAGAATGGCGGTAATAAAAAATCACTGGCTCTCAAAAAAGCTGGGTGGCATTGATTTCTCGCCTGTGTTTAAATTTTCCACTTATGTATGTGAGACTCATTTATAATTTGTAATAAATTGCATGGTGATTAGTAAAAATTGCCTAATTATGTTGTGTAGAAAATTTTCTATTTCCTATATATCTCATTTTTAATTTACCATCTGAAAAACATAATTTAAAGGGAAAAAATAGTAAAATTGTGAGATTTTATCATGGTGTCTGCAAGGTGATGAACCTGTAGTTTGGATGTTTTTGATAATTTTGGTTTGCCAAAATTCTTGCTATCTTTAGTGGTGGGTCAAACAAAAACAGCAAGGGTAAGAAGAAAATCAGGAATGACCAAACTATATAGGCATCCAGGGGGCCGCTGACCTGGCTGTAACCGACAAGTGAGGAGAGGCGACAGATTATTTATTTTCCTTTTAATCAAGCATTTGATTTTTCATTATGGAGGTGTGTATAAAAACCATTTGTTTTGAAACAATCATGTAAAAGTCCAAATCTCCACACTTCGCACTCAGGAAGCCCCGCCTCTCACACCCATGAGAAAGCAGCAACCCAACCCTCAACAGAATCGTGCAGCGATAAACAAAGTCTACTAGAAATTTATACTTTTGTACACCGTTTAAGAGGAGAAAAGCAAATGAAATATAGAAAGGAAGCTGAAAGTGGTCAATGATTTGGCAAATTGTGCCAGGGAGACATACCACTCCAGGTCCCCTGGCTTACCCAAGCAATCAGGTGATCTATGATATGCCTGAGCATGAGCACATTGGTGTTGAAGTCTAGATCTAAATTGAGTGTGCAAGTATTCAGGATGATATATTTTGAAGGGTGAAGAATTTAAAAATCTGTTTTAAATTGAGTAAGGAAAAGCTCAACCTCACAGCCAAGTATAAATTTATCTTGTTCCAAAATATGGGAGTGTGGGCGAGAGATTATGAGATCTTTAACTGAAGACAATAATGGCAAATAGCAGGTGAAATAGGGTAAGATAAGACTTTTGATATGATTTGAACAAGCTGGGGTACTCAAAAAACTGCCCAAGCGTCTTAGGCAAAATAGTAGTCTTTCCTGCTGTCATTATTGTGTGGCTGCCATAATTGGTCAAAAGATAATTTTACGCCAAGATTTCTCGCAGAATCTTCAAAAGGGATAACAGTAGAATATCCGAGTATTCGACTTAGCTCTTTAAAAAAATTAAGCCCTGACATTAAGATGGATAGCATTATTCCATTTTAGAATTTCATTTTTTTTCCTACGAGGGTTTGCAACAGCAGAGGTTATATCAACCCTTGAGGTGCCGGTGTTTTTGAAAAAAAAAGCCCATTTGTAAGTATGTCGGGTTCGAATGCAGGGCCGTTGGATTCGAACCCGGGATATTTACCTTACAGTGATGAGCGCCGTGTCAACGCCTAAACCGTTGTGTCCACCGACGCCCCTTCATCATTAATTGTGCCAATAAAAGCCGGTGACTCAGCTGGTTTAAACTGTCTCTAAAACTGAAATCATCTGCCAAACAGTGATACTTGGAACAGGAGAGAGAGAGGAGGATATATCATCTACGTAAAGAGAAAATAACAATAGTCCAAAGATTGAACACCACTGAACAAAGATCTAGAAGTAAAATTATCATTATTGGTATGTACATATTGGAATCGATTAGAAAGGAAATATATAATCATAGAACACGCAGAAGAACTAAACTTAAAAGTAGTGGGTCGTTAATGAGAATTTGATGTGAAATAGAACCGAAGGCGTTAGAGAAATCAGGAAGCACTAGCGTGCAAAGTTCATGTTCTAGGCCTAAACGGATGTCATCAGTCACTTTGAGGAGAGTGGAATGTTTAAAGTCAAACTGATAAGGATCTAGGAGAGAAGACCTGCTAAGAAATGACAATCAATTGTGTATGAGTTGGTTCCTTCCCATCTTTTAGATCGGGTTGAGATTTCAGTTTGGAGTACTTGGAAGGAGTGAGTAGAGAGGGGGATAGTCATATTCTATTTAACAAAGTGTCCTCAGGATTCTTCCTTTTGGTAAATTTTCCTTTCTCTCAGATAGTATAGCTAATTAATCAGTTAAAACGGTTAAAGACTAAAAAACGTTCGCTTCGGTTAAAAGCCGAAGCGCACCCCTTCACCTCATCCCGTCTGAGGCTTTTTCTTCTAAGCGGCAAAATCGTCGGTTTAACATCCGGGTTCGTTTTGATGTGTGATAAGTAGGCGAGGGGGTGCCGTGTTAATGAAGGTAAGGCATGGGCCAAGTTAGGGCACACTAGGTGTCAACACCAATTACTTTCCGCCCGGGAGCCCCGCACAAACTTTACAATGAAATTAATTCTGCCCCCTTTCCCATCTCTTTAGCAGGGAGGAACGTCTACACTTTGAATTTCGTATGGGTGAGGAGCGTCGTCGAGAGCTCTTTCCTTTTAGGGCGTCAAGCATTAAATTCGCCTATTTTAATTATAACATTTAATTAAACCTAATCTTAAAAAAAAGTGATCATAACTAAGTTTAAACTCGCCCAGCCCATTTTGTGACTCAACGAGCGATTACTATTTAAAGTATGATCCAATATTTATTTTCTACTCTCTGTTTGCCTTTGAATGTGGTGATGGCTTGACCAATTGACGTACTTATTTTAATGTAAATCAGGATTTCAAGCTGTTCAAGCTGTTGGAGCCGAATGATGTATATCCAAACTGTTTCAGGCGTTTTCTGTACAAGCCCAAAACATGAGCAATCAAACTCATTAGGGAAATACACTTCGGTCTTTCAAGCAGAAATACATGCCATCAATGCTTGTGCCTTGGAAAATCTTAAAAGAGCACTGACAACAAAATCCTCATAAGATCAGATAGCCAAGCAGCCAAGGTTAGCCTTAAGATTAGCATGTAAAAGAATCACATCAAAATTAGTCAGTGAATGCATCCAAATTCTCCAAAACCTGGGGAAACACAACAACCCAAGGCACAGGGGAATTTTGGGTAACGAGAAAGCAGACAGACTGGCCAGAGGAGGATCCGCAAGACCATACATAGGCCCCGAACCTATTCTTGGGATAACAAGAACAAATATAGAATCCTCCAAGAATGGATCCAAGCAAAACAAAAGGAGAAGTGGATAACTCTAGCAGTGCTAGACATAGTAAACTTATGATGAAACAACCCTCACCGAGACTGGCAAAAGCACTGCTGCAATTGGAGAGAGCCAAACTCAGAGGAGTGGTAGGACTACTAACCAGTCACTGGCATCTGAGAAAACATCTACACAACATGGGTATATACAGCGATGACCCCATTTGCAGATTATGTAATGAGAGGAGGAAACAGCCACTCATATCATCTTCGAGTGCGAAGCAACAGCTCAATGGAGGTTTAACCTAACGTACGGAAAAAAACTTAGGGAATCAAATTGCAGCAGCGACAGTCAATGACCTGATACTTCTAAGAAGAAGGATTGAGTCTATTGCACTGAACTAAGGAACTAGGAAGGTACAATAAGCCAGAATGTTGCAGTGCCTGTGGAGTGCAAACCCCGCTTCCTAGTATCCTTTTCTACCATACCATACCATATCCCAACTGATTATCATGTGCCATAAGTGTTCTAGGGAATTCATGTCAAGGTGGCACCAGACATGCGGTATTCGCCGATTGCCGGATATTTGCCAAGTCTGGAGATGTTCGTCTTGGCATTCGCCAAATATTGTGCCTATTGTACATACATGCGGGGTTTGTACAACCATCCAGTATGCGTGGAAACATCGAAATTTCGCCAAGTGTCTTGCGAGTCCTCAACTTACTACCAATCGTGATGGACAACAGTGATGCTGCGGTTACTGTTTTGTGTAGTGGCTCCGTTTCCACGCATCGAAATACTCTTTCAGATTTTTGTGATTCGGAAGAGAAGCGTTCCAAATTGTTAGTTCAGCTTGATCGAGGAACTCCAAGACCGGTTTTTTGGCTTTGTCTCGCCACATCTAATCACGGGGAGACTGATAAGTAGGGCCAACAGAAATAAAATTATGTTTTCTTTCTACACTAGTTAGGAATCGTTTATTATTGAAAAATAAATAGCGGTACACAGAGTGTTCGGCTTCTCCTGTTACATACTTTTCCATTAGATTCTACATTCAAAATGGAACCAAAAAGTCCTAATTAACTATGGTCCGAATCTCAACCGTTTCTGAGATATCCCCCTTTTCTGATTTTTTAAGATTTCACAACCTTGCTTCAAATAAAAAACGATATCTTCAAAAATAAAAGGTTTTGCACAAATCCGTTGATACCACTGCAAACTATGTTAAATTTCCAATAAGATATGATTAATATTAAATTTGTAAACGTTTGTGTAATAAGCGTTTTAGTAGCGAGAATTTTTTTTTTTTTTTTTTTTTTTTTTTAACGAGGGTTCCTGATAGCAGAGGTCATATAAACCCTCAAGGTGCCGATGTTTTTGAAAAAAAGTCCATTTGTAAGTATGTCGGGTTCGAATGCAGGGCCGCTGGATTCGAACCCGGGACCTTCACCTTACAATGAGAACATAAAATTTTTTTTTTCAAAGTTGAAAAACTTACTATAGTGATTCTAAACTACTATTTCCAAACCTAGAGACCAGCAAATCTCAGAAAACGTACTCCATTTAATATCTTTTCAGTGGTGCGATTGCTTTTTTAATTACCTTTTTTCAAAGATGAAAAAATTGAGGAAGGAAAAGAAAAAACCGTGGTTGAAGGATTGGTAAAGTTGAAAGATTAACAATAATAAAAAATAAAAAAATTAAGGAATTTTTGAATGAATTTATTAAACTTTTTTTTTATTTCGGGTTCGAAACCAAAATAGTGCAAGTGTTTACTTACTTACCAACACGACTGCACCTTTGATGTATGAATTATTGAAAAATATTTTTTTTCAAAGTTGAAAAACTTACTATGGTGATTCTAAACCACTATTTCCAAACATAGAGACCAGCAAATCCCAGAAAACGTACTCCATTTAATATCCTTTTCAGTGGGGTAATTGCTTTTTTAATTACTTTTTTCAAAGGTGAAGAAATCGATGTAGGAAAGGAAAAAACCGTGGTGTACGGATTGGCTTAAAAAAAAAAAAA